AGCTCTGTTAGTTTGTTTACTCTCTGCATCAATTAGGAAACGAGATTTTGCAACATCAGTCTTTCCCTTCTCCATAAAATGAAGGAGAGGAGTTTTTAAGTGGGGTTCCGCAGATGGGCTTCAGGAGGCCCGTGGGCCGACAGCTACACAAAATGGGTGCGGGGACATCGGCAGGGTGAAGGCGCAGCGCTCTCCTGAGATTCCCAAAGTGGCCTGGGAGCCAAAGGGGAGCAGCTGAGGCGCAGGACCCCGCAGCCCTCCGCAGCCCTCCCCTGGCTCCCGCCTGCAGCTGGGCAGGGGTGTGCCTTGACCCCGAGTTTGGCTGAGTCTGGATGGGTGAGGCCAGGGTGGCCTGAAGGTGCCCTTCCCTCAGGGACCTTACAGATGCGCTGCCTTCCCGGAGGAGCTGTGTGGGGTGACGACTTGCTTCGGAGGAGGAACACCCAGCACCCCTACTTTAACACTGTGCCTGAACCCACATTCGGTCAGTCCTAGACCTGAGCACTTAAGCCAGTATTTTAAAAAGGGAAGTTTTCCTTTATACAGTTTATTATTGTGCTTTTAGAACTGAAACATAAAACACCGTTTTCAAACTCACAAGCAGGACCGTGCAGGACACAAGGTCGTTTCACACGGCTCGGTGGAGGGTTATCTCTGGCATTTCCACAAAGAAACTTCGATCACACGGCATGCTTGCGAGTGGATTTTACAAAGGAACCAAGAACTTCCTGACTCCGCTTTTCAGATGAGGTCTTGCCCGCGTGGCCACAGGATGGGCAAGAAGCTGGGCAAGAAGCTGGGGCGGGAGGTGGGGGAGGTGGGTCTCAGGTCTGCGGACGGCACCCCAGCCCTGCTCCTGGGGGGCAGGGGTGCTGTGCTAACCCGTGCTCTGCTTTGAGGGCCAGGACACAGGATTCTGTGTTTTGAGCTAACTGCTGATAATTCAGACTTAAAAGATTACAACTGTTCTACAGTCTAAAAGTCCACACTAAAACTACCTTCAAGACACTGCTGAGTCAGCCACTTATTTTCAACTAAAACAGTAAAATATTCTAAGTACTTTTTAAATTGTCATCTTATGCTACTCTTAGAAAACACGGCTTCAGCGAAAGCCTGCAGTGAAAACCACCCTCTGGAGCCAAAACAAAGTCGGCAGGGCACGGCGTTCCTGCGTGTTCCTCAGCAAATCACACAGCTGTAGTTTCAATTATATCAAGCAATTTTCACCGTATTCTAACCAGCAGGGCTAAATTTGTTTTTTTCTTGTATAAAAAGCATACAGGAGCCTTGTACCTTCATGAACCTTAAGAACATGCAGCATTAAACCCAAAACAACAAACCCCTGGTGTGTGACAATTACCAGCTACGTTAAATGGCTGCCTCACGAGCGTTCATCAGTGACAGGTTTAGACAAGTCACAGTGGAAGAAAACACATTCTTTGAAGACCGCAGCTGGCGCAGGCACGGGAACACCCACCCCCGCGGCCCCAAGGACACTCACCAGCGGGCCCGCTCTCCCGACGACGGAGAACCACATTCTGACACCAGACGGTAGCCCCTTCTCCAGCTGGAGACCACTGCCCGCTTCGTGTGGCCTCCACGGCTGCGCACCCAGTGGGGAGGGTGAGACTGGGTTACCACAGCCCCGCGCTGGACACAGCGACAGTGCACGGCATTTAGCAACACCAACATCCAGACTCTTACGTAACCGGTCAGCTCTGATTTCTATTCACTTCGTACTTCATTAAACTTTAAAAAGAGCCAGAAAAGTAAAAGGGATGGAACTGTTTGTATTCTGAAAACCCAAACAGGAAGCACCGTGCTATCCCACAGATGAGCAGGAAGCAGCATTTTCGACTTCCTGAAGCAGTGCTTCGGAAAGAGACCTGCACAGGCGCCGGCCCGAGTCATCTGGATCTCATAAAAGGGAACCACAGTGTGCAGGGCGTCAGGGAACCGACCGTCAAAACAATGTCCAGGCTCCCAGCCGCGGAGCCACATACTCATCAGGGAAATGCGAAGGGAGCCTGGGCCAGAGAGGCGCAGAGCAGCGCAGACCAGCACGGAAGGGAGGGACAGTCGAAACCACAGACAGGGCGGCGCTGCGGCCGAGACGGGGAAAGGCACACACGATGTGAGTGACAGGGACATAAGTGATGGAGGATGAGCGGTCTGACCCTCACCCCCAGGGTCCCTCACTGGGCTGAGGCCTGGAGGGGCCGCTCAGTGCCCAGACTACAGGGCCGACAGCTGGGAGCGGAGCTGGGCCTCAGCAGGAGGAAGGGCGCCTGCCAGTGGTGCTGCGGTGCAGAGCTGCGTTCCCGGACCCCTTCTCTGAGTGATCTCCTCTGGAACGTCCAGCGGCCCCCCAGCTTCACCGCTGGCTCTCGCCTTCTGAATTCCACACTCACCTGCTAGCCTCTCTACTAGACACCACACCCGCAGCAGGCCTCCCAGCCCCAAATCTCAAATGAACACGTTCAACGCTGCACTTGGCTTCTCTCTGGCCGAAACGCGCCGCTCTTCAGCAGCGCACCCCGGTGCGAGAGACACCATGGGGACACAAGGTGACCCTCCCTGCCAGCCCGGCAGCGGTGTGCTCACCGGCCTGGCCTTAGAGGGGGTCGTCAGCTCTCTCCAGTGCCATCTGACCTCCCCACCCACGGCCACGGCAAAGCCTGTCACCTCCCCTGGAAAACCAGGAAGAGCTTACCCACCAGGCCCTCTGACCGCACCTCTGAGCCCCTCCAACCCACGGTCCACAACACTGCAAGAATCAACCTTCCCAACCGCCCCCCCCACCCCCGCACAGGGCCTTACTTGAGCCCCTTCTTCGGTGAGGTTGGGGGACTGCTGCTGGGCCAACTGCCTGCCAGGACACGCAAGGCCAGCCCCTGACAAAAAAGCCTTGTGATCCTGCTCTCGGTGTCCAGTCGCCCCTCTCAGCAGAGCTCAGGGGGCGCCCCAACTAGCTTCCCAGGGTTCAGGCCTGGCTGCAGCCTCCACCCGCATTCCCACCATTCCCGTGCCAGGTACCGTGCCTGGTCCCACGCTGGGACAGCCCACGCCTTTACCTGGCTCACACCTGCTCTCCTTCGCTGTCCCCCAGCCTCCAGGCTACACTGTAGGGGAGACACTCAACCAACGCCCTCAAATCAGCCTTGGCCTCTGATGTCATGTGCTCCCTCACATTTTTTGCCTCGTCCCCCCAGGGATCAGAGCATGTACTAATAAAGGGGCTGCCTGGATCACAGACATTCCTGGCAGGAGAAGCAAACTTCATGAGATGAGAGCCAAAGGCACGCTCAGTCTCATTAAATGTGTTTACAAGCTGACAAGTTAGCCCTCCTAGGCAGAGCTCAGCCTGCACTCTTTGCAAACGACTCTTCTACTGCTTCTCTTCCAGTTCTGAGTGCACACACACACACACACAGTTTACTGTGGAGAACGTCTGAGAGACCAGAAACAAAACCAGCAAAGGTCCCAGGCGCGTCACATCAGAGAATGTCCCCCAGGACTGGAGGGGACATGCCTTGCAGCTGCCCCTCAACCGCCCCCAGGCTGCTGCCCAGTGGAGGAGACAGGGAGCACCTGGCTCGTGGAGACCTGGGAGTGGCACGGGGGTGGGGAACATGTTCAGTCCGGACACTGTGCGTCCCGTGGAGACACACATGTGGTTGGAAAAGGTCCTCTTCTGCTTATACTCTTCTAACTTCCTGTGTTGTTACCACTCCCCAGTAAGCTTCAGCTCTACAACTCTATATCCTAGCTACAAACACTGCTAACACTATAATTCTGTACAAGCCTCTTTCCTTTTAAAGACTTTATTCATACATTTTAAGAGAAATGGGGAAGGGAGGGAGAAAGAGAAAGAGTGAAATGAAACTCAGTATGTGGTTGCCTCCAGCACACCCCACACCGGGGACGTGGCCCGCAACCCGGGCAAGTGCCCTGACTGGGAATTGAACAGGCGACCCTCTGGTTCCCAGGCCTGTGCTCAATCCACTGAGCCACACCAGCCAGGGCTGCACAAATCTCTTTTTAAATGTGTCAGTGAAGGACACAAGAGAACAACTCTGCAGACATCGTGTGACCGGTGGAGGTGGCCCTGTCCTCCTGCACGGCAGACACTCGGCACTCCCCTCAGGAACGGACGGAGCACACCTCACTCCAGAGACCAGCTGCGGCTCTCCCATTGGTCCACTCGGACGTCAGTCACAGGAATAGACGGCCTCGCCCCGGGAGCACAGCACGGCCTGGGCCCCTGCAGCTCTGGGCCCTGGGGGCTGGTGCAGAGCAGCGACGGGGCCCTACTGACCCCTGAGTCACCTACTGTGTTCAGGACAAGACAACACCTCTCAACCACACCGGCACTTCCTCGTCTGAAAGAGGACGCACAGCAGCCTGGGGAGCTCCGGGCAGGAACAGGAGTGGAGAGGCGAGTGTGGCAAGTGCACACACGAACTAGGGAGTGTGTGGCCAGGAGCCAGCCAGGCAGGCAAAGGCTCGGTGGCAGCCATTCCTTCAGCCGGGATCTGGTGGGGGTGGAGGACCCTGGCAGGTCTCCCGGGGAGCACCCCCCACCGCCACCACACACAGACCAGAGCACGGCCAGCACCTGCGGTCTCAGGACGCAGCGGCCCCGACTGGGCCTGCGCACCCGACCACCCGCCCTCGCCTGTACCCAGACCTGCACTCCTGCCGACGCCGCCGCTGTGATGTGGTGACTGACCTGCCTGCTAGGCCACAAAGGGACAGCCTCCCCCGTGCCGGGCCTCTGCCCGCTGTGGCAACTCACTTCTGCCACCGCCTCAACAGTTTCCTTCTAAGCACCAGCTGGGCGACCTCTAGGTGCCCCTCACTCCACTTCCCATATGGAGGCCACCCCACAGCTAGCTGGGTCCGAGCACAGGCCCCCACTCTCAGAACCACAGGCCTATCCCCTGGAACGCAGCAGGGTGCCTCTGCAGCCCCAGGCCCCCATCCCCGGCCAGTCCTACCTTCGCCGCCACGATGCTGAGGCCCATGCCATTCTGCTTCTTCAGGGTCACAGTGATCACTTCGGGCTCTTTCCGCAGAGGCTGAGCCTGAAGGATGAAGATAGAGGTTATGTCGCAGCTGCAGTGGAGTTCCATGACAGAGTGGGGAGGGGCGCTGCCCGACCAAGCGGGGAGGACACAGACGGGGCACCCTCGACCCGAGTGCCAAAGGAGGCCCAGTCATGGGTGCTGTCGACGTGCTCCGGGAGGACTGTCACGTGTGAAACAGAACTGAACTTGCACTACCATCAGGTCCCAGGGGCTTGACCTACACAAAATCACACTGTTCCTTTACTGCCTTTCAGGCTCCATCTCGGTGGGTGTTTTTCAAACAAGTTGAAACTAACCATCCGTGGGGAGGAGAACACAAAGCTCACAAAGGTGACCAAACACCTTTGTCTCCTGAAGCAGCAGAGCCCCAGCTGCCCCGGGTCCAGGTGCAGCGTTCAGTCCTTGGCTGCGACGTACAGCCACATCCCGGAGGACAGGCCAGTGACAGAGTGGGTCCACAAATGAGGAAGTGAAGCAACCCGCGGATGGGATGTGCTACACGCACCTCGAAGATCACACGTAAGAGTGCACAGCACTGAGACCCACCAGAGCCACCCGTGGGGCGCTGACAGCACACGCACCGTGCAGAGGCCCCCCCCCGCCAGGAGGGGACGGCTGTCTGCCTCAACAGCCCCAAAGGCCAAGAGACAGTACTTCAAGGGAAATAAGATTAGGTGACATTAGAGTTATTTTTTAAGCTAAGGCCTGAAATCTTCTGAGGGATCTGTGGATACTCAATAATTCCATCTAAAAGATCCCTGTTTTTCTGTAAAATCTAGGAATTAGAAATTGTTATCCCTTGCAATTTGAAAAAGGGCAGTTGACAAGGCCAATAATCAGCACAGGAGGCATGTCCCCTGTGCCAGTGGTTACACATGGGTGTCCCTTCAGCAGAGCAGAAATCACGAGCCACTTCAGCCTTGGAAGTGGGTGTAACACATGCTCAAACCTGCAGTAGGCCACTAAGCCAAAACAAACTAACTCCTTCAAAAGGAATGTACAGACACACACTTCGTTCTCGTGCTGCGCTCAGTACCGCCGCCTGGCGGGCTCTGCGTTTCCTGAGAAAGCAGGCGGGGCGGGGACACTGTCTGCAGCGTGCAGCACAAGCGGATTTAGGGCGGCACAACCGTGTCTCTGAAGCCACGGAGGACCATGCTGCGGACTCAGACCCGGATCTCAAAATTACAGAACAGCGTCTAAGGTAAACGGGACTAAACAAGCTCAGAAAGGAACTTTTTAGAACCGGCATTTCCAACAGAGACCCCAGTGTGTGAGCACAAGACAGCTGGGAGCCAGCGTCCCCTTCTCAGGCGTGGGGCAGTGGCCTGCTGGCCACAGCTCTCTGCACCGAGCAAAGCAGGGGGGGTCCCTAGCGTGCACGGAGCTGGTCAGTACTGGAACCCACAAGTACGTGACTTGGTACATGTTTAAGACAAGGTAGAACTGGCTATGAAAACATATCTGTAGCACAAAAAACCATTTCCTAGTAAAACCTGCTAACACTACCCTATTAACACGTTTCTAAAGCATGTATTAACATTAAAGCTAGTATAGTTGTGGGACTAAGCATTCTTTATTTTAAAAAGCACAGTTTATAGATAAAAAGCACAGTTTATAAACTAAATTGTATATACATGGCCTGGAGTAGAAACTTCATGTCCAAACTGGGGGTTCGAGATTTTTTCTAAAAATTAGTGTTTATGAGTGGTTTAAAATCTTCCTGTCGCAGCAATGCCCACTGTAAGCAAGGAGAAAACCTGCAACTAAGTTCCAGACCCGTGGGCCACGCGCTCCTGCCCGCCCAGCCTCCACAGTACTCGCCAACTCCGTGTTCTCGCGAGTCAGGTGGCTCTCGTAGTCTGCACCTTCGAAGTAGATCGTCCAGGTACCTGGTGAGCGTGGGTGAGGGACCAACCTGCAGAACCCTGAGGAGAGAAGCAAACTGCAGGACTGCACAGTGCACCATGCAGACCCCATTCTGATCGTCCACAAGGGAACTGGCACGAAGCCTCAATGGCATCATACCCAACACCACGTTCGCTGTTCTCCTGGACACCTGCCCCTCCTCCACAACCCAACACTCAGCCCCGCTCTTCGGTTCCGGTCCGACAGAATGCCCATGCCAAGCAGCGTGGCGGGACAGTTCCCGGTCCCGTCCATCCCAGGACCTTGCATCCTCACTCTGGTGGGGGCCACGCGCCCTCCCCTGCAGGGCTGCCTGCCCCGCTCGGCCACGGACGCCTCAGCAATGCCTGCCCCTCCCTCCCAGAGGGCAAAGGCCCACACAAACAGGTGTGATGTCACCTGCACTGCCAGGTCCTGGTCACGTGGCCTGGCGGGTAAGATACAAGCTGCCCGGTAGAGCAATTCTGGGAGAACAGGCCCATTCTCGTTATTCTTTGTCCAAATTCCTTGTCAGTCATACTCATTTGAATTTCTAATGAACTTTAGAATCACTTTATAACGTTTTAAGAATATGACATTTTCACCAGGGACAAACGACGACACACTCTGTTCGTCCGGTCAGATGTGACTGTGTCTCAGCAGTTCCCTGACAAGGTCGCACCACACGCGCCTCACGCCGCCACTCCTGGTAGGTTCCCCACACGACTGCACTCCGTCCTCAGCTCACAGTCGCTGGGAGGAGCCCGTGCGCCAGACCCCGAGCGCCGGGCCCCGTGTCCACAGCGTCGCCCCAACCGGCCCTGCTGCCGAGTGCTGGCTGGGGGCCGGCAGGCAGCACTACTGTGCCCACCCACTCTGGTGCCCCCCAGTAGGAACTTTGGCTATTAATTCTGGACAGTTACAAAGTTGTTTGTGGTAGAGGGGAAAGGAGATGACAAACATTCTCAGTTAAAATAAGAAAAAGTATTCTTATTAATTTTACTTAGTTTCAGTCCTTTGTGGAAAAAATAAGTTTCAATCAAGTTTCTTTGAAACACAGCCTGTGACTTGCATGTCCCCGTTTTAGAGACTCATAATCACCTTGGTTTTCAAACCTCAACGACTGTAACTGACTTTTCCCACAAAGCGTCCACGGCAGGCGTGGACCGCACTGTGAGTCCTTGCCCCTTTCTCTGCTGAGGGGCTGGCTCAGGGCAGGTGTGAGTCTGCGCCGATTCCGCAGCCTTCTTCCACAGTATTACACCAAAACCCCCCAAAAGAATGGACGTGGGGAGCGCATCGCGGTCCCTTTCACGGCACCCGTGTACTCGGCTACACTGTCATGTAACGCATGTGAAGTAACGTGGCTGTGCCAGACCACAACGAAACATCACCGTGTCCTGAAATCAGGCATTCAAGAGCGCCTGAGGGGACATCACGGAGAAACCTCGTCACCAAGTCCGGGTCTCACAAGTCCCAACTGGGCACATGCTTGTCCCGACTCGAGTTCCTACGCGGCAGCTGCATGCACACCACACACCGTACCCACTAGGGAGCTGGACTCTCGCATGCAGCCCTGGGTCCCTGCTGCAGAGCCGGGGCAGTGCGCACAGCCGGCCGTCCTCCGGACGTCTGCCTGCAGGTGAGCCTGCAGCTGCTGCCACAGAGCGTCCCTCACAGGGAAGACGGCTTAAGCTGTGGGGAGAGCCTGAGGTCCTACAGATGCAGGGAAGGCAAGGAGAACAGGGACGAAGGCCCCGGCCCCACAGGGTCCACAGCACACAGAACGACACTGACCACACACAGCGTGCCCGTCCCAGAGGGCACACAGACACACTCACAATTCGGTCTCCAGTCCCACTCGGGACGGGGACAGGCCCAAGCAGGGGAGCCAGGAACAACACCTGGCTGCCAGGCCCGACGGCGCCGTGCAGCGTGGAAGGAGAAGGGGAGACCAGGGCCTCGACCCGGGCCTGGCTCAGGGCCTAAAGGCACCCAGCCCAGAGACGCCCACCCAGCGCCTTCCTCAGAAGCACATGCAGCCTGGTCCTCCCTGCAGTCCCTGAGACTTGCCCTCCCCCCCACCGCTCCACGTGTGCTCCTGGAGGCCTGCAGCCAAGGCTCATCCCCAGTGGCAGCCTCGGTCAATGTCTCACACTGTCAAACTGTCCGAAGACATAAAAACCTATGGTGAGTAAAGTACTCCCTGAGGCCAAGCATCACACTCGCTCAATTTACACACCTACGGACACACAGCCCAAACTCGTCTGTTACTTTTGTTCCAGTGCCTAACAGTGGGCCCTATTCTGCTGCTCATCAGAGCACTACCGGAAAGCAGCAGACCAGGACTCAAGTCTGCTCTGGTCTGACGGCTCCCACTGCAGGCCTGACCGGGACACGTCCACCTGCCAACCTCATGGAGAACGTGGGGCAGGCACAGGGCATGACAAGGCACCTGAGTCCCGCTCCACAACCCACATGGGTGCCGGGTTTCTCACACGAGCACTGGGACAGCAGCAGCGCCGGCACTCGGAGACCCACTGGTGGCCCATCCACCCTGAGTACTGTCCCACCAGGCGGGCTGTCATCACAGCCCTTGTGCAACGAGGAACTGCAGGGAGAAGCTGGGCTCAGGGCTCAGCTGTCTGGTCCAGAGCCTGTGCTGCTCTGGCACCAACAGCGACATTTCAGTTCCAGAGGCCGTGCCTGCGACCAGGCCCAAAAACCCCAAGACAGGGGTCGGGGTGGGGGAGGAATGAGGAGCCATGAGGGCCTCCCTCCAGCCCAGGCCCACATGCCACCCAGTGAGCAGGGCTCACAGGGCTCTTGTGCAGCCCACCCCCAAGAACTATGGACACCTGCAACCCCCGTGTCACCAGGAAACGCTTCCTTCCCAGTCCTGGAACACTGACTTCTTAGAAGCACACAAGGACTCTCTCATGGGAACACAGAACTGGTAAAACGTGCCCTGAACGGGGCTGCAGCTCAGACTGCAGAGGCACTGGGAACCCCACTCACCCCTCTGGCACAAAGGGTCCAGAAACTCTTGCAAGCCATTTGGGAGGTTCCTGACGACGTCACAGGAGTAGCCGTCCTCCGGCAGCAGGAAGGGCAGCTGCAGGTCGGGGTCCTCCTCCAGTTGCACCTCCCTCCCATCGCTGCGGGCCAGCTCGTCGGCCGTGTTCTCGGCCACAGCCACCACGTTTTCTATCAGGTCCTGGTTGGGAAAGACACCAGATGACAAACAGATGCCCCCAGAAGGGTGCTGTGCACCAGGGGCCACCTCCGCTCCCGCAGGCCACGCGGGCAGAGCCCCACATGGCATTCTCCAGCACACAAACCGAGAGAGCTGAGGTTAACTTCAAAGGGTGTGTAGCTTTAAAAAAAAAGAAATCGTTCAATCACAAGAAAATAGGTTTTCTCTCTTCAGAAGTAGTCACTTTTCCTCACACAATTTCCCAACATCTAGTGCTATAGTCACTGTTTTTGTAGACTGTTTAATGACTTGGAAAAAAGCTCACACGATGTGTAAAACCAAGATAAAATACCTATTTCCAGCTTATACGGAGACTATTTCTGAATTAGAGGTTTGTAAGCGACTTTGTTCCAAAGCTGTCACGAGTGCACAGCACGCGCGCCAGAGCATCCGCACTCCTTACCCCGGAGCACAAGGAAGGAGCAGGCCAGCCCGCTGGCGGTGAGTGGCTTCGTGCCCGCCCCTTCCCCGAGTCCCCGCTACCCCAGCAGCCAACACCACGTGCCTGCTCTGGAAATCCAGACAGACAGAAGCACACTGTTTATAGCTTGTTGTCTGACTTCTATTGTGCGATTTACGCCATGACACCCCTTCAAGCTGTCGTGGGCTGGAATTCGCTCAGGGTCGCTCATGCTGCATCCCTTTAATGACCACAACACAGCTTATGTACATGCGGCAATGCTGGGGGGCACGGGGGACTGCCAGTCCGGGCTACTTCTGAGGATGTCTACTGCAGCACTGCTCAGTGCTGGGGGCCAGTCGGCCGACACGTCCGTCCCAGCACCTGGCCTCCCCCATCGCGGATGCCTGTGCAAGGAGTCCCTGACCCAACAGTGACTCGTGGTCTCCGAAGCATCTCCTGCTTTGCCACTGGCCAGCTGCAGCAGACACCGTGAACTGGGCTTTCACCCTCCGCAGGAGGAACGCCCCAGCTCCAGGCTGCACTGCGTGAGAGCCTGCATTTACCAGTCAGGCACCGCAGCACAGGTCCGGGGGGCAGCTGTACAGGTGGAGGACACCTGTGGCCATGGCAGCAGTTCGAGGGCCTCTGGGTCTCAAGGGAAGGGGTGCACCCATGAACTAAGTACTCCAGGGCAACTGCCTATCAGCCCCGCCATCGCCTTCCAATGGTCTCCTCAGACTTGACCCCCAGAGTTAAATGCCTTTCCACTTAAAATGCTCGTGCAGTTTCTACTTCACGCACTAAACCCGAACTCGTATATCAGCAATGAAAATGGTCCTGTAAGATGGTCAAGTACACGGCTTATTTTTAAGGAAATGAGCCAACACTGTCCTCACTTCCCTGTGCAGACGTGCCCCCCCAGCCCGTGTGGGCCCACTCACCGCAGGGATGAACGGCTCGTCCGGTGCGCAGTGATAGTTCTGCAGCAAGGCCTGGAGCTGCAGCGAGTTCAGCTTGAAGCAGGTGCTGTTTATGTTGGGAGTGTCGTCAGGCGCGTACTTGTCCATGGTGAGCAGAGTGGTGGCCTAGTTGGGAGAATGGACGGCGTGCAGCGTGACGTGATGGCCATTCATAACTGTCCCCTTCACATAACAGGCGCCCTGCGACAACCTGTTGATTTGATTCTGAAACTCATGGTATTTTAAAGGAAATAGTTCCGTTCACATGGGCAAACTGAAATCAAAGGACTGTCTCAGAAAGGTTTTAGATGTCACTTCATTTTACTAAAACACATAATAAAATTCAGTTGCTTATGTTCATAAAGCACGTAAAAAGTTCTTGTAGAAATTTTAAACGTTTATGTAACCACTTGGACAACCCATCACTAGGGTCTAAACACAGTTTCGTTGTAATGACCTTTTTACAACCATCTAACTCAAAGCGGGGGAGTAGCAGCCTCTTTTGATGCCAATCTCTTCAGAGCAGATTCAGAAACCGAGGAAAAAAATACAAAACTGCAGCAACGGAACACACCACCCTCAGTTCTGAGGCTGCGGACACTCGCTTCCTTCACTGCACCCAGGGGCCTCCAGTCCCTGGCCACCATGGAGTTGTCCAGAACGTCAGCACCAGGGCCTGCTCTGCGTTCCTTTGCTCCTTCTCTTGTCCTGTCCTGGCTCTGTGAGGACCTCGTGGAGCGCTGGGCTTCAACTCCTCTAGCTTTACCTTCTGTGTACCTACCACTGCATAGGCTTTTGCTTTATGGTTCCCTGGCTTTGTATTCTTAGAAGTTAACTATTACCCACTTTCACATTAGAATGTATCTTTAGGAGACATGCCTTTTTAAGCTCAAAAACAAGCACCCTTTATGGCTGTCTGCTCTACTGGTCACCACCTGCCGGGGGCCACACTGTGCTCCCTAGGGTAGCCCTTCACCCCTCAGAAAGCAACTGGGTTTGGAGACAAGGTCTTCAGAGAGCAATCGAGTTCAAACAAGGGCCCTTGAGAGGCTGACACTGGACACAGACGTGCACAGGGCCTGTGCAGACGAGAACACATCGGAGGACACCTCTGTAAGCCTAGAAAGGCCCCAAATGCCAGCAAACCCCCAGGACTCAGAAAGAGGCCTGGGGCCAAGCTCCTCACAGCCCAGAAAGCCCAGCCCCACCTGACCTTGGCCCTGCACTTCCAGCCTCCAAACTGAAACAGGATGCATTTCTGTGGCACCTGCCCGCAGCCGGCTGCATTTGTTACAGGGACCCAGGCAAGTGAGCACACCGTGGTCCCATGGTTTGTGCACAGAAAAACCCCCAACGGGGGTGTTGGGTTCTGCTGAGTCTGAGTTCCCACCCACGAGGGAATCAGACTGTTACAGGAAGTATACACAGGGGGCCTGGCGGGCCTCAGACCACCCACCTGCACAATCCTACTGAGGTGACAGTCGGCAGCCAGCTCTAGCCCCTGCTTCTCTGCCCATGCCTCCACGTGCCCCAGCTGCTGGCGGATGATGGCCCCCCAGTAGTGAGAGCACAGCCCCGACTCGGGGTCGGTCACCAGCCTGTTGAATAGCCACATGTTGAGGAAGTGGAAGAGCTGGGAGAAGAGCTGGATGGTCAGGGCCGCGTTGACTCTGCAGCGCCGCAGCAGTGCCATGGCCCCCGTGAGCGTGTGCAGGACGTCATCTGTTTGGAGAGAGGGCCAGGGCAGGGCGCCCGAGGTCACTCGGGCACAGGCCTGGGCGGGGCATCGCTTTAGATTACCAGCAGTCCTGGCAACACCAGTCTCACTCAAGTAGGAGACGGTGACATGAGCCCACCCTGAGAGGCTTTTTGAAAAAGCACGACACGCAGAACCGCGCTGTTCTTACAGAAGACAGCAGTCACGTTCACTGCCTCAGTGAGGATGTCGAACCCAAAAGGGCCTCTCGCTTGTTCCTAAAGTGCCTCCTCTTACCTACATTCAACATTACACATTAACATGAAGTGAACCGGGAGGGAGGAGAGAAAGGACCTTCTAACCTATTTTTGGTCTCTGCAGACTGTTCTCTTCAGGGTCATCCAGAAAGGCTGGCATGTAGTTATTCAGTTCCGACTGCAGACAGTGAACCAGGTACCTGCAATACACCAGGGACTGCAATGAACTCAGCGCACCCATCTGTACTGCTCAGGAACATCTTCACTGAAAAACCATAGTAGCTTTCCTCCTGGGGTTCATGAAACGCAACTCACTGAATTCAATTATTAAGTCAACACATTTTCACAGTCATTTATGTTTCTCAACAAAGTCAGGGTAAATAAAAACCTTTAAAACCAGTTTTGAAAACTCCACAAGAAGACGCACGAAGACCTGCATCCTACAAAGTGGAGCCCCGGCCCAGAGCGCCCCTTACTTAAAAGCCATCTGAACCAGGTGGGCCAGCACGTCCTGAGCGTCCAGCGTGAGCCGGCTGAGGTCTCGGTCCTGCTTGATGAAGTTGAGCAGCTCCGACGCGTTCGCCATCCAGAAGGCGAGCGCCCCTGCGATGTTCTTCTGCTTCTGCAGGCAGAACACATCTCCATGAGCAGCTCCCGGGGCACAAGCGAGACAGCAGTATGGGACACTCCTGAAAAGCTGCTGAAGGTGGGCCAGTACCTTCCCGTTTCCGCCAAGGTATTAACCACAGATACCAGATATTTGCAAAGGAATTTGGTATGTAACAAGCAGTGGAAAATAAATTACCACCGCGACTTCCCGGGATTCAGGGAGACACGTGGCTCCGAGTGGCCACCACTCATGGAGTCCACGGAGAGAGGGGGGCCTCGAACCGCAGCACCAAATCGGAGGTCGTGCACTATCTGGTAATCTGCGAGCGCATGTGCGTCCACGGTCACCCACGGCCACCCTGACACTCGCAGTCACCGGCTTGGACATGAGCCACTCGGCACCGAGTGGTGACCTAGCGCATCCTCTCCCGACCACTCGTGCAGGCCAGGCCACCTCAGAGGAGACCCAGAGAGCAGGGACCAAGGGCAAACGACCAGGAGGAGAAGCTGTCGCCTCATGTCCACACGGAAGTGCGTTAAGCAGAAAGTATGAAATGCTGGTGAAGGCGCACAGTCGGAGGGTTTAGTAGTGCGTGTCTCAGCTGCTGAATGAGTGTTATGGCGGCGCAGCCCCGTGTGCGGAGCGCTGTGTCTGACATGGAAGCGACATGAGAAACTCAGCTAAGCCGACAGCCAGGATCAGCGCCCAGCAGCAGGTCCTACCTGATCAACCTGGTCTACTTCCTGGAGGAAAACACGAGGGGAAACCAAGCAGAACGAGAGAAAGAAACTTGTAAACAATCACGACAGTTCAAAACAATCGACACACTAACATGAAGGTGCAACACGACAGCAGGACATCCGGCGTCGTCCCTCCCACCGCCCGGCTGCGGCTGTCCTGAGGCCGCTCTGGGGTGCGCCCATGGGGAGCAGCCCCGGGGCCCCCACACCGACACGTAACCGGGGGGGTTCCCGGGGGCTCAACCACACAGAAGAGGTTCCAACACACACCTGAACACACGCACTGGCCTCTTTAAAAGGCTTACAAGGGAAGGACTTCTGAGTGTCTTAATAATAAATACTCTGAGTACTTCAATGTCTATAAGATGAGCCTCTTCCCCGGATTAATCAATAAGAATGACAGAGACAGGAAAGATCAACAGAAACAATAAAAATAAAAGTCAAGAAGGTTGAGAATCTAAAAATATATTTTAAAAACCTATGCTAAAAAGAAGTAAACTGTTTTTGAAAGTGGGTTTTTACCAACTGAAAACTTTAAATTAGCCCTGACTGGTATGACTCAGCGGGTTGGGCATTCTCCCGTGGAGCAAAGGGCCGGCCATGGGTTCAATTCCTGGTCAGGGCACAAGCCTGTGTTGCAGGCCAGGTCCCCAGGTGCAAGCATGTGAAAGGTGGCCAATCAATGTTTCTCTTGCACACTAATATTTCTATCTCTCTCTTTCTCCCTCCCTTCCCCTCTTTCTGAAAATAAATAAAAATTTAAAGGAACTATTTAAAGAAACCCAAAATTTAAATTACTCACTACCATAGTTTGTTTCTAAAATGTGAAGATTCTTCCAATCATATACTAAACCCAAATCTGGAATTAAAAGACTTGTTCTGATAATGGTGATTTCAGTGAAGTTCAAATTCAACATGGAAAAGTCTGTCAAAAGTAGTTGATGGCAGGAGTCTCATAATTTGAAACAGGCTTTACAAATCCAAACACCATGTAAGACAGACAATGGCTTTGAATGACAAATGGAGAGGAAATCACACATCATAAAATAATAAAGAGTAACAAAATGGTATCCAAATAAAATGACTTTCCTTTTTGAGCTCTATTCTCACTTGGGTAAAAGAACGGCCCCATCAAATGCACATGCTAATCATTCAACGTAAAAGAAACATGTCTTTAAAAACTTGGGGCCTTTGAAAACGATTCTGAAGGAATTAAAAGATTACTTTTCCTCCAACTACCCTGACAGGAGCAAAACAACATAATTATGTTACTTAACACTTCATAATTGGAGTCTTCTAGCAAGTAACTGCACTGACGCATGATTTAGGAAAACTCTTTTAAAAAATCTATACATTTTACTTTATGATAAATTTCAGATGCTCAGTAAGTCTGGAAACTGGTACGCCCATTTCATCAACTACTGAGAGCACCCAAAAGAAACATACGCGCTACCAAGAGAACACCCTTACTGCCCCAAATTTTCAAGATGGATTTATGAAAGAACGGGGGCCCGAGTGTCACCGTGCGAAATGCCACAATGCCCGCACCCTGGGGTGTGCTGTCCCACACAGACAGTCCCTGCCGGCACCACAGGAGGCTTGTCTCGGGAGAGCCGGAGCCCTGCATGCCCGTTGCGGGGTTCTGGGGGTGGCTGCCGGGGATGGGAGGAGGGGCACGAGACCCAGCGTGGTGGCCTGGGGGTCTGCAGGGAGCTGGGCTGCGCAACACTGTGCCTACGCGGACCACTACCGGGGCACTTGCTGTTAAGTGGTTAATTCTATGTCATGTGAGTTTCATCCCAACACCTTATTTTGTGGAAAATTCTAAGAAAACCCACATCCAGCCATGACAACTACTGTGAGGGTCTTTCTCATGATACTTGTGTTACCACGCACCATTTATCTTCCCTTTTCTCAAGCTTGTGGGAAGTAAAAAAAAAACCTTTACATTTCTTTTCAACTTTTAAAGCTATACAATTTTCAATACAATTTATATAACTTTTATTTTAGGATAAAAAGCTCTCAGAATAAAGTCAAGCACATAACCAAATCTGAAACACGGAGGAACTGGACCAAGCTGACCCAGGGCCATCACCAGGAGGCTGGCGCTGGCAGGGCGGGCAGGGGCTTACCTGGATCACGCCTTCCATCATGCTCACCATCTTGTTGACGATGGCAACCACCTTGTGCGTGCGCTCGGCGGGGCTGAGGTCAGGTCTGTACTGGCTTGACAATACATACCGACATGCCATATATAATACATAGGTAGGTGACAACTTAAAATGGACTGTAGAGCTATTAGTGTAATTTATAATGGCAGATAAAAATGAATCTTCAGCTGTGAAAAGATTTCAGAAAAGAAGAAAAAAGAAAGAAGAAAAAAACGACAAAAAACAAACAAACAAACATGAAAGTCAGGTGGAGACAGTGGGACCGGAAACCACTCCCCCGCGCTGGGACCTGCAGGTACTCACAGCTCTCCCTGAACTCGATGCTGGCGGGCAGTGTCAGCTCGGGGCCGGGCCCGTCCTGCATTCTGAAAGAAGAAAGTTGCCATCTCTTAGCATCAGGTCACAAAGCTAATAACATCCTGACAACCTGTGCAGATTTCTGAAGCTTTAAAAAATTCCTCCGTGCTATACTGGAGACCTAAGAAACAGCCCCCGCCCCCCTCCACGTGTCCCAGGCGCCAACACTGAGGCGAGCACACTGGCAGTCTCCTGCCGCGGCCGCCACAGGTCAGTGCCCCGGAGTGGCTGCCCCCCTGGGGAGAGCACATCTGACCACCTCTCTCTATTATGCATGAAGGCTCCACGAGAGCAGAGACCAGGCCGTTGTGCACCTGCTGCAGCCACGGCTCAGGTGGCAACGCGGAGGCACTGCTGCAGTCAGGAAGAAAACCGAAACCAAGCCGAGCACGAAACCAAGCCTAGTACACGAAAGAGAGAAACTTCCACAGAGCCAGACACTGTCACCCTCTCCGGGCAAGGCTGAGACAAGAGGCCCCTGAGGACCCCCCTCCAGTCGCCTGGTTGGTGTCTTCGATGCTCAGAGACAAGGGCCTTACGGAAGACAGCCCACTCACACACACTTCCTCCGAGTCACATCAATTCGAGGCACTCTTCATCACTTAGCCTGACACTACAAAAATAAGCAAATGACAAAAACATAAAGAAAGAGTAACTGTACCTTAGAACATTCCAAGAACTAGCACTGTACTGATGTTTATAGAGTCCCAGGCACCCCAGATCACATTAATTCAAAGGGTAGGGAATCTGTAGTGAGAAGTTCTTCAAACCATGGTGACTGTGCCCCCAATGACGGGACATACGGTAGGGCAATGTCACATGAGATTCAGTCAGACACATAAATATACACATGTTCTGTTGTGCACTGTGATCAAAAATATTTAAAAGCCATTAGTAAGGACTTTTTAAAAAATGTGTAGAATGTGGTCTTCCCCTCTTTTCTCAACAATTTAGGTGTAAAAATACACTTATAAACACAACATAATTTAAACGCTCAGTTATTTTAATGCGCCTTACACTGCCATATTTACAGACATCTAAAATTACAGGTAAGCAGTTTCTTCAACTTAATATCTGTAAATTGATGCTAAAGTTCACCAAGTATTTGTTTCATCAATTTAACAAATCTAGTATAAATAAGAAATTTAAATTCTCATTGAAAAAATTCCTGCACGTTCACAGCGTACAGGAATTTCCGCCTCACGGCTGACTGCCCCGTGGCCGGGCCCACACCCCGGCCTTCCACAGCGCAAAAGCGCTGTCCTGCTCGCTCTCTCCTCTCTCCCCACCTTGATTCTCGCACTCGCCCGGTGCCTGTGGGTGCGGACGCGCACCACGCCTCTGTGGGCTTCTGCACAGACAGAGGCCCTCCTCACAGCACCGACTCGCTGATCTGGACACCTCATTCTAGAACACAGCACCAAAATCAAGTACAGACATGGGAAGTGGACAGCTCACCATTACATCTCAAAACACTCACAAAGCCAACAAACACCATGGCAACAACTAAAAGCCCACAATAAAATCAAGGTCGGCCCTGAGAGCCCCAGGTGAACCTACCAGCAGGAGAACTGGGAGTGATGTTGGAACTCAGGACACACAGCGCCCTCTGCTGGATGCGCAAAAGGGGAAGGCCTGAGCCCCACAGGGCCCAGTGCCCTGTGCAAGCCGTATCTTCAGCTAAAGCCTCCGCTCCTGGGTCTTTGAAAGGGGCCGATCTCAATGCTGACCAGAAGGCGCAGTGAGGCACCCCGGTGTCCCCTGGCTATCTGGGTGCACCCAGCACCCGCAGCAGGAGTGCCCAGCGCCAGTCCTGCTGCAGCCTGAGCTGACCCGCTCCGGGGCTCTGTCTGCTCCAGAACCACCGCACTGGAGGCACTGACATTAATCCTCAAGACTCAAATAGTGTCGAGGTCACAAGGAAGTGATATTCCAATTTACTAGGGTAACGTAATTTAAAAACAGTAAGAAAAGAAAATAACAAAAGCCAAGTTCTCTGTTCAAAAAAACTAGGCAAGAACAAAGAAGAGAAGACGACCCACTCCCATCAAAGCTCAACAGGGGCCACAATTCTTAACAGCCCTGCTTCCAACTCATTTTCGCCCTTGTGTATCTTTAAACACGTGAGGATTTCTTCTAAACATGGTGATGTGATGAGTTTTATGTACGTATGCAAACGGTCCAACAGTAAAACCCCCGACAGCTCCCCCCACACTGTGACAGGGGAGCACGTCGACACAGAAACACTCCAACTCGACACGTCCCCCTCGGCTGCACGGCACTGTGCACGTAAGCGCTTCAACCGCTGGCGAGGCTGCTTTTCCCAAACCAACTGCGAACAAATGCTGCTAGTGCTCTAGAAACGTCACATGAACCCCGACAGGGCCGCTGGTCTCTGCCCCGCACCCTCGGTGGGGAAGCTTCCCCTGCCTTCGGAGGGACAGGGAGGACGTCCTACCTGCTCTCCTGTCGGCGGCTCTCGGGCTGCTGCTCCACGCGGACCATGGGCCTCACCATCCCCCGCTCGGCGGTGCTGCAGGCAGACGGCACCCTGTCTCCGTCCAGTCTGGTCGAGCTCTGACCAAGGGGAAACACAGGGAGTGTGAGCACCGCACGGACACCCAGCTGTCCACTCTGTGCCGCAGGCGAGGACGTGGCTTGAGGCTGCCAAGTGGGGGAGCAAGGCAGGGACACAGGGAAGAGCACGGGTGAGAGACGTGCCGCAGACGGAGCACGGCATACTCACAGTGGGCGCCCGGGAGCCCGCCGTCATTAAAGAATGATGAGACACTAGTCACTTCCCTTCCCAGTGCCAGCAGCTCACTTTACAACACAGGCAGGCACACCAGGCGCATGCACACAGGGGCTCTTCACAAGCACGGTAATAGTGGCTTTACCCCAACAAGCCCCGCCAAACCTGACAGAGCACACAGAACACGTGCCACGTGGGGCGTCAGGTTCTCCTGGCTGACTGCTGGCTTTAAGGAAGGGTTAAAAACCTGCTCGTCAGGGCTCCACACCTAATGGAGCCCGAGCACAGGAAGTGCTCTACTTCTCGTCCTGGTTGACACAGCAGCACACACACGCACAGCAGCCCCTTCCACACAGGCCACACCCCTAACCACCCTACACAAACAGGAGTGACCTGCGTCAAGGAAACAAGCAGAACAGAAGCAAGAAACTTACAGAAAGAAACCCACTGTAGCAACACTTTACATACCCGCGTTCTCATTGCATCTGTTTACTGAGGAGACTGAACATACTAAGTACAATAAAAATCATCCTTGTCTTACCAACTAGAAATTAATACTGTGCTGTGTGCATCTTCGTAATTTTTCATCTTCCACAGATGAGACTACACAACCTACTTTGTAAAAAATATTCTCCACGTTTCAAACGTCTTACGACCTCAGTTTCAAGCTACAAAACCGCGTGCGTGTGTGCACCCTGTCACCCACCCATCAGAACCCACCGAAGCAAAGCTTTATGCGGTGAAGACGCTCAGTGGCATGGGGCGCCGGACACCTGCACACGTGCGCACACAGGTTCGCGCACAGTGGTCACGGCCGAGAGGTGCGTTTGTGGAAATACAACTGCTGGGTCAGTGCGTGGCAATACTCGCACCACAAAAAGTCATTTTAAGTGCATAACAAGGCACGTTCACCGGCCACCGCATTACAATCCAATTTCAGCGGCTTTCCAACGGCTTTCCGAGGAAATGCCCCCAGAGCAGCAGCCAGAGCAGCAGCGCAGAGAGGCGTGCTTGCCTGCGGAGGCCCAACCGCGTCCGGACGCACAGAGGCGCGCGCGCACGTGCACGAAGAGTTCAGAAAAGGACACACTGAGACACCACCAAAGCCAACTGCACGTGACGAGTGGACGATTTCCATGTTTGCACTGTTTTCGACCTCCCAGGCTTTTCATGTGGACTGCCCATTTTATAAAATACTAAAACTTTCATGAAGGCAGTGATATGCAGTTCCCAGGGCAGGTGTTCGCTCCATACTCAACAGCGCCCCCCTGAGCCTCTGCGCTGCACTGCATGCTGCTCTGGGCCCAGAAGGGCAGTGGGGAGCAGGCCCGGCCGGACCCCTCCTTCACCGAGCTCCCCAGTCAGTCAGCAGACAAGGCCTCACAAGGACTCAAACACACGGCTGCCGGAGGCTGCAGGAGGCCGTCTTAGGGACGCAGCTTCGAGGCGAGCAGGGCAAGTATGTGTAAACAGCAGGTGGGGCGTGGTAGCAAGGGTGGTGCCCCAGGTCTTTGGTGGGAAGGATGTGGGGGGTCGGGGCTGAGGCGAGGCCAGCACTCACTCAGCTGGGAGGGGAGGCGGGCAGGTCTGAAGAGCTGTGTGGCCAGGAGGAGGACTGTGTGATATTTGGGATAAGAAACCACTGGGGGCTTTGATGGTGGGGCGGTCACAGAATCAAATTTACACTGCAGAAGCATCAGTCGGTCTGCTGGAGGAGGAGGAAGAAGACTAATGGGAGAGAGGTGCTGCCTCCACAGCCGTGCCACACTCCTGCCTGTGACACTCCTGCCTGGGACCACCCAGTGACCACCCAGTTCGGTCGCTCTTCCACAGGTAGAGCGACCGAACTTGCCAGCAGCTGAAAGTGGAGGCTCAGAGAGGAAAGACCCTGAGGAGAACTGTTGGGGGCTGGGATAAGCCTGAAACAGGCTGATACAATCCGACCTGAAGGTTGCGCCTGAATAACAGGATGCTGCGGTTAGGAGCCATAGAACTCCCCCTCCTGGACATGCGGGTGGCACACCAATCAGTGCCTTGATCACGCGCCCGCCATGCACCCCCCGGCCAATCGCAGGCTAGAGCACGCTTTGAAGCTACCTATCCACTGCATTTCTTCCACTACCCTCCTCTATATAACTCCCTCCATTTTGAAATAAAATTTGCAGCTTGATCAGAATCCTCTGTCTTGCTGCCATTCTTCGCGCCTCCTGTCCCATCCCCCTTCATCCGTTACAGGTATATCGGCGGACCCCGTTGACTGCCTCGCGGGCCAAGGCAGAGAACCGGGACAGGTCCCTGGACCAGCCACCGTGGAGGGGGCCCCCAGGACAGAGAGCACGCCCTCTGTATTAGCTCGTCCAACCTGCAATTCTGTGCCAGCCACGCCCATGGCACGAGAGCAAACTTCTGGAGCAAGTAGAGGTCAGGGCTGGGGAGTCGGTGCCCCAGCATCTGGGAAGCCCGAACCCAGGCAGAGCCCAGGCTTTGCTTTACCCACTGGAATGTGGGGGAACCGAGGTTGTGCCAGTTCCCAGCCCAGGATGTAAAGGAAACCTACAAACTCCACACTTCCTGAGCAGCCCCAGCACATCGGGCTTCCACATGGAGAGACGGTGGGGCGAGAGGTCCGACAGAGAACCTGAGGTGACCAGAAGATGGGTGGCCCAGCAGCCCCATGTCCCCGCACAGCCTGGTCCCCAGCTGACCCACCAGCGCAGTTTTCACCCAGCGTGCACAAGAACTCAGACACACGCAGCACCTGACCGCTCTCTGCTCTTAGACTGTCCAATAAAACAAGGACAACAGCCAGCACAACACCATCCAACACCAGCCCTGTCTTCAACCATGAACACATAGGTCAAGTAACAGAGTGCGTCTTATTGATCATGTCTCATATATAAGGTTGTGTCTGATTGGTTAATTTTTGGTACCAGAAATCCTATACACAAGGATAGGCATGTGATTTTTTAAAAGTCATTTTAGGGCAAAAAAGTGTAGGTAATTACTACTATTCTTTTTTTTTTTTTTTTTTTTTGGTAAATCAATCAAAATTATACCTATTTTTGGTCAGGTCAGCAGAAAAAAGTACTTTTTGGTGTGCCACGGAATTTTAGTAATGACTTTACACACCACGAGGTGGGAATCGCTGCACTAGTTGAGCCCGCCACAGAGCGAGCATCAGCAAGACGAGCCAACACGCTGCCCAGGGGAGGCCCAGCCGCCCACACGGCAGTGAGCACGGGGGGGCCTGCTGTTCAGCCCACTGACTTCTGCAGTGCCGGCTTCCCAGCAACAGACAACCACGGTGAGGAGACACGGACCCGATCACACCAGAGATGAGGGCGGCCGGGGAGGCCCGGTGTCCGAGGAGGAGGTGCAGCCAGGAGGCAGTGACAGCTGAGTGGAGGGGCTCAGGGGAGCAGGAGCCACTGTCTTTAGGGGTCACCTGACCAAGCGAGGCTGGTCACACAGAGCAGGGAAGAGAAAGCACCGCCCCAGTCCTTAGGGAAAAGGACAGCCGGCCTGCTGCCACCCAGTCACACAGCCCTCGGTGCAGACCATGGCGGAGTGTGTTCAAACAAGTTTTACAAGGACACCACCGATCACTCATCCACGCATCCTAAGACATTAAACACACACACCAGGCGACATGCCGTCACCTACCTTGCTTGTTGGTAATGCTGTTCCACTATGAATATCTCCTCCTAAATCAAAAGTCGTCTCCTGAACAATTCTGTCAGGATAAAAAACAATACAAAGAATGAGTAACTCTCGAACCATGAGGTGGTCTCTTCCTAGCAATATGAAACACTTAACTAAACACCGATGTTCAAAGATCTTCAGGAAATCCTTTTCATCATAAAAAGTTGTAGAATTTTAAAAAGTGATTGTAACTTCAAAAACTTTTCTTACTAATATATACTAAATACTCTCAGGATCACATTTTTTAAAACTGTATTTAAAAACAATAAACTGAAAGGAACCATAAAGAAAAAAGTAAGCTGTCTCTTCCCCACGGCCGCTCCAGGTGGCATACGCCACAGAAGTAAAGCGTGGCTGCCCCAGGGCCCGGAGCCCTCTGTGGCCACGGCAGACCGTGGGACTCCTGGACAGGACAAGGCCCAGGACCGAGCGGCAAGCCTGCCAGAAAGTCAGGCTGATGGTTTCTGTGGACTTCACTACTTAGGCCACAAATAAAGAAATAAACAATTTTTGATAGTGTTAGTAATCAGATCAAGAGTTATCCTTGTTTTAACAATTTTTAGACTAGTGCAAAATACCAAAAATGTAAAACTACCCTTTATAAAAAGTTAATTCAGATTATAACCAAACCTCCTAACAGCCGGTACCCTGGAGCGAGCCAGCGAACTGCTCCGGCACAAGTGCAGGTGCCTCAGCCGCTGGTCCCAGCCTCCGGCGGCAGCCCCGCCCCGGGGAGCAGCACCGGGGCCCTGGGGGCCCACAGCTGGGGCAGTGCGGGACTTCCTGGGCTTCGCAGGCCATCGGAAACACTGCAGTCTCCCCATTTTACCATGTTGAAAGCGTATGGTCTGATTTTAAAGCACTAGGTTCACTTGAACCTTTTATTTAAGCACAATCTATAGATGGGGCTTGAACAAAACGGAGCCATAGAATAAAGCTAGGAAGTGACAGAAGCTCAAAACAGTTTTCTCAAATTAAAGAACCAAGTACAAATTCTTCTTCTACTTCATCACTATAAAAATAAAATCATCTTGTGATGCAAAATAGTATCAGGCTTTAAAATAGACGGTAACTTTTGAGAGCATAAAACTTTTCACTAAAGGTTGAATATCAACCTCAGAAAATGACTTTATACATTCCAAACTTTTGTGAAATTCAGTACTTCCCTCCGTCACCAAGACATACACACCTGGAGCAGAAATTGCTCTGCTCTGAGTCAGACAGTGCAGAGAGGGCCCAGGAGGGCTGGCCGCCCTCTCTCACCACCCAGCACAGTGGCGCACACCCTACCCAGCCCTCGCTTCCCCTGAGCGTGCCGAAACACGACCAAAGCCTTCTCAGTCCCATTGGTAGTATCATCCTGGAATCACAGATGTGCTCCACACCATGCAAACCCCATCTCCCCTAAAGCAACTAAAGCTTTTGAGTTCATCAAGGGTCCATTTGTACTGCGCTCCAGATGTATGACTAGAAAGTGATTTCACTGATGACTTATATGACGTTATCCATGCCTGGCTTTATATGTAAGAGCCACGGTACCACGGCCCTCTCAGCACTCAGACCACAAAAACACAGGACATGGGCTCCGTGAGCGCAGACCAGATGAAATCATCAGTGACTCGCCACAGCCTCGGAAGTCCCCGCCCTTCCTGTGCTGCCCACTCCCTGCCCCAGCCCCCCAACTCCCCCCTGCTCCGTGCCCTCAGCAGGAAGTCCCTGTGGCTCACGCACTGCATCCATCTGCGTCCCCTGGTTCAGCCTCGAAGGCGAGGCCCTGACCTCTACAGCTAAGATCCACGATCGCATGTCCCTCTAGGAAGCAGAAAAAAAAAAAACAAAGCCCGACACTGTACAAGGAAAGAAATAACACGATGGACCAGAGCAGAAATAGACACCAGAGCAGAAAAGATCAATGAGACGAAGAGCCAGGTCTGTGAAGAGACCGACAAAATTAATAAACCCTTAGGTAAACTGACCAGAAAAAAAAGAGAGAGCGAGGACTCAAAATCAGAAATGAATAAAAAGCCTAGGAATAAATTTAAATGCATCCAAAAGAATAAAACACTAGAAATAAATTTAACCAAGGAAGTCAAAGGTCTATACAGTGAAAATTTAAGACATTTATAAAAGAAACTGAAAAAGACACACAAAATGCAAAAGATATTCCATGCTCGTGAACTAGAACACTGCTAAAATTTTAGTCCATACTACCCAAAGTGGTTTCCAGATGCAATCCACGTTAGCAGTCCATTGACACTCTTCACAGAAACAGAACACACACTTCTACACTTTGTGTGGAACCATCAAAGACCCCAAACAACGAACCCAGTCTTGGGGAAGCACAAAGTCGGAGCTATCACCTTCCTTCATATTAAACTACACTACAAGACTGCAGTAATCAAAACAGCACGGCACTGGCATAAAAACAGACGTCCAGATGGATGGAATAGAATGGAGAGCCCAGAAATGAACCCACTCATAGGCAGTCAGTTAATTTAAGACAAAGGAGCTAAGGACGGACACACAATGCAAAGAACAGTCTCTTCAATGAACGGTACTGGGAAAACCGACAACCAATGCAGAGAATGGAACTGGACCGCTCGTTTACCCTGGACACAAAAACGAACCCCACGTGGCCAGAAGGCCTGAAAGTGCGACCTGCAGCCACAGCACTCTTGGGAGACACAGGCGGTGAGCTCCTTGACACGGGTTTTGACAACTGACTTTCTGGATCTGACACCAAAAGCCAAGGCCACAAAAGCAAAAATAAACAAGTGGGACTCCACCAAAACTGAAAAGCTTTAGTGCCGAAAAGGGCACCATCAACACAGCATAAAGGCAGCCTGTGGACGGGAGAAAACACCTGCCAGCCACGCACCTGACGGGGGCGAGTGTGCAGCACTCAGAGTGGACCAAGCTAGGTCTGCAGTTGTGAGTGCGGGAAACAGTCTATTCTCGTATTATGATTAATTACTGTGTTATTTTCAAAACAAGCCATTATAAAACCACTTGTGCTCCACGCTGTATATAGAGAACACAACACAACAGCAAAAATCCAAACGACGCAGTAAAAACCGGGCAGAGGACCTGAGCAGAGGTTCAGTCGGGCAGGAAAAGGTGCAGGGGCTCGGCAGCACTCGGCAGTGGGAAATGCCCACCAAAGCCACTGTGGGCGCTCACCTTGCACCTGTCAGGGTCGCGGTCATCAAGAGACAGCTAGGGCGGGTGAGAACCGAGGGAAAGGGAGTCCCTGTGCACAGTCGGTGGGAACGCAAACTGGTTCCTCAACAGAGTTGAAACCAGGGGGCATCTGAGACATTGCTCCCCAGCGTGGCCGCAGTTTGGCTCAAGCAAACTCTGACAAAAACTCCCACAGGTGTGAGTGTTCCTCGTGGCAACGTTTACTGGGTGTGATCAGCAGGGGTCCAAAGGAGACCCCCCAGGACCTTTCTGCAGACGCAGTGAGAGGTACCAACTGGGACCCCAATAGCCCACTGGCTCCCTGCTCCGCACTGGGAGGACGGGGTGAGGGTCTCGGGACTGGGGGAGTGACCCATGCCTTCCAGCAGCAGGCCAGGACTTCAGTGAAGCTGTTCTCAGAAAGTCCTCGAGGTGAGTAAGGGTCAAGATAACTCAAGGAAAGAAAGAACAAGTTCTGTTGCTTGTAACCCCAGCTTTCTGACTCAGACTGCTCACTCGCAGGGAGTCTGAACCAAGTTCCTGATGAGCTCCCACAGAGAGAAAGGGCACTGGCTCCCCAGCCAAGCAGCCGAAGGGACGATGACAGGCACTCAGACTCCTGACTCCAGAAGGCAGGGGGCGGGGGGTGCCGCAACACGGCCAACCCGGAGAAGCTGCAGGGAGGCACAGGGCGCAGGCAGGGCACCCTGGAGTGGGTCTGCTCTGAGAGGGGACCCGTGCCTTGGAAAGCATTGCTGTTTTGGAGGTGTTCCATCGGCTCGGGCCAGCCCTTGCGCAGGCGGTCCCAGATGACTAAGCGTCTCAGTGGGGCTGCCGGAGGAAAGCACCTTCCTCGGGAGGAGCCGCTGCAGAGCGATACCCATGGCGCGCGGTCTGAGGAGATGGCAGGCGAAGGCCTGTTTCCTCTAGAGGGCCGCTCAAACCCTACAGATCCCGACGCTGCCCTGGGAAACCATGCCCCACCGGCCAGCAGACCCCACGACAGTGGGCCCCCCATTAGTGTGCAGACGGCTGGGGTCAGGGCCTTGTGCCACCTCTGCACCGATCTGTGCCTCTGCCAGGAAAGCCTGCTGTGCAGTTAGACAGGAAAAGTGGCCAACACTGAACTGACCTCTCGAAGGCTCAGAGAGGGTTTGGGGAAAAGGATCAAGCTGTGACCCCACAAAGATGTCACCTGATTCTTTGAGGTATTACAAACAGCTACCCCTACTTAAACAGGGGAAGGCCACTTGGAACTTGACTGGTCAAGGACAGACATAAATTGTGAATGCCACCAAAACAAACAGTGGGTCCACCTGTGCTCTGCTTGTCTGTCTGTGTACGTCTGTGTGTGCTCCTTACAAAGGTGAGATCTTCCACCCCCGGACAGTACTACTAAAATAAATGTAAGGCACACGCACGTTAGGATGGGGCGTTCTAAAATCCTCGGAAAGGCAGAAACCAGCTGAAACTCTCTTCAAGTTCATGCACTCTGAGAAGACACCCCAGGAAGTGAAAGCCGGCTTGGGTCTGGGGCAGATCCGAAGGACTGGCTGTACGGTGGGGCAGACAGATCGTAAATTGCACCTGCACGTTACAACAGCAGCCGATGCCACCGAAGCACATGGTGTGAACTTGGAAAGAGCACAACTGCAGGGAGACGCACCAGGGGGAGGCCCTGTTCAAAGACAATCGGCCGCACACTGAAGAAACCTTCCCCTGGGACAATACACACCCTGGTAATAAGGGGAAGTAAGGACACCGAGCAGGTGTGCTCTTCCTGACAGGGTGGCTGGTGTGGAAAGCAAAAAGCAAGCTGGAGAAAAGCTGGTGGTGGAAATACCGATGGAAGACATGTGAGCAGAACTACGTGCTGAACGGAGGAGCCATGCTGAGGTCATGACAAGGGACAGGAAGGGGGAGACGGGGATAACAAGAGCTTAAGAAAGGGAAGGAAACGCGGGCCCTCCAAGGCACGAGATGGAGGGAAGGGCTCAGAGGCGCCCTCAGTTGGAAGTTGGAATGGAGACTTCCCAAGAAGCAGACAGCGAGGGCGCAAGGGGACAAAGAGGCCCGGTCATTCGCCGGAGCTCAAGGTCAACGCACACCATCTGCAGCGCCCAGGCACTGCCTGAGGACGTGGTTGGCCTGCAGAGTGCTCGCCTTGGAGAGGGACATGGCATCCACTCTTTCCTCCACCTGGACTCAAAATGGACAGGGAGTGCGGAAGGGGGCAGGCAGCGCCCCGATCCCCCACCAGGAGCAACCACAGTCGGTCCGAACACCGACAAGAAAAAACTAAAACCTCACAGCTCGCCTGAAGGCTGCGGGTGGTGAAGCAAAGGTAGGCTGTGGGGCAGAACACGGAGGTGGTGCCGAGAAGCCCAGAGGCAGTGCCCACGGCCGTGCTCCTCGGCCTCAGCGTCCACATCAGTGAACAGTCAGTCCACTTGCTTTCAACAGCGCGAGGTTCATGCCCTGCCAGCGTGTGAAACGGCCGCTCATGCAGCAACATGTCACCAAATGGCGCCTCACTATCCCCCTCGAACACGCCACTGGACCGTCAGGAGACCTCAGGAAGGACTCTGGTTTCCCAGCTCTGGCCCTCACCACAAGTCCCCCGAGAGGCACTAGGTGGAGCCAAACCCCACGGCCCAGGAGGAAGGCCTGGACGCGGCTGGGAAGGAGCCGCCTCGCAGCAGCAGCAGCAGCAGCAGCAGCAAGGAGCCGAGCACGGCAGCACTGAACAGAACCCGCGGCTCCCCACCCAGGAGCAAGGCGAGGACTGTCTGGAAGGACGACATGAAAAACCAAGTGCTCAAACGTAACTTAAAGACCAGCCACATCGAGAGGAAGACCCTTCCTTCCTCTTTTTCCCTCTGAAACCAACTAAATTAACAAGAACCAGGACCGCACACCCATTCTGAAGGTTCGAGAACTAAGATAAGAAATGCCTGCATCAGAACACTTTCAGCCCCACAGAGAAACACCCTCCACTTCCCGGAGGCCTCGCGTGCCGGGCACTTACCCAGGCTTGTGCCTGGGGCCCTTGGTGGGCAGGGCCCCGTCCACAGGCCTTCTGGAGAGCGCGTGGTCCTGGCTGGGGTCCACGAACTTGAACACATGCGACGCCCCAAACTGCACACTCATCCCGCTCTGCAGCATGGTGGTCTCTGAGATGCGCTGTCCCTCCACATAGGTCTCAGCATCCATGCTCCTCGGGGTGACAGTGACAACTCCGTCCATGTTCGTGAGGTCGCAGTGATGGGGCTGAATTCCTGAACCAAACAGCTAGAAACAGAAGGAGTCAGAGCAGCTGCCGCTGTGAAGGCTGCAGTGTGTGAAGGCAGAGTTTTAAAACCGTGAGTCCCCCTTCCGTGGGCCATGTGATCTAATAACTCTGGGTTTTTGGTGTTGTGAGTGGATTTTCTACCAATAATCCAAAAATAACTAAACTGTCAAAATAAGTGAACATTTTATTTTTAGCACCCAGTGCCGTGATTTAATAAGGCACACTGTAACTCTGCATGAAAAAGCACACGGTCTTGTGAACATCAGACAATTTAACAGGCACTCCACGAAGATCATCGTGATCACAAATCCCTGGTCACTGTCGCGCTGCTGTGCGAAGGCGGGAAGGAGGTCGGAACTGAGAAACCAGGGCGCGGGAGGGAGGCCAGCCCAGCCCGCCCGGAGGCGCTGATGAGCCCAGGCTCCCTCACGCACAGAGCCCGTCGGGCTCTGCTTCACCGGGCGCTGGGGAACTGCGTGGGGCTGACACTTCCGTTGCAACTGATCGACAACCTCCCGCTCTGCGTGCCAGGCCCAGGGACAGGACTGCAGAGGCTGTCGCCCTAGGTCATGGAACAGACCTGTGAAGGGGCCACCATCTCTTGGAGAAAGTACGGTCTGAGAGGAGGGTCAGGACCGCTCCGTGTTTCCAGAGGAGGGGTGTGGACGAAAACTCACACTTCGCTCTTTCCACACTCAGGCAAAGGAGAGTGACCCACAGTGAACGAGCTATTCACGTTTAAACAGAAGCTTCTGGTTTCTGTGCATTTGTCCCCGTGCTACCATGTGCCCTCCCCTCCCAAGACACAAGTGACACAGGAGCCGAGCGGGCGGTGCCACTGCGCACCTGGATGGAGCTGTCGTCGAACTTCTCCGTCCCGACCTCGGTGACACTGAGCTGGAGGCGGTAGAGCTTCGGCTTATCTCTGGAGTCGGAGCCATCTGCAAGAAGCAAGTGGAAGGTTACCTTACAGGCGACGCCACAGCTCTCTCCAAATTTACAGCATGCAATTCAACTGACTGGATTGAGAAAATTCAAAGTAAGACATTCAAACACATCAGCTTCTGTTTACCATAATTTAAGGTGCTAAATACTGTCATTCATACCAACATTGCCTCGCCACATAAAAAGACATTTCTGTCAGTGATTCTGAGAAGTGATTCTATTAGCAAGTGAAGATCATCAAAGACACATGGACCTTCCCTTCAGACCACAGCCTTCCTGCACTAAACCTGCCACCTAAATGGCACTCAGCGACACTTTGGTGGCACTCAGTGCCACGTGCCTGGGGGGCATAGCTGGATCGCTGATGGGGGAGGTTTTTAAAGGCACAGTCTCAGGGCTCACCCCAGACCTCCTGGACCAAAATCCTTGGGGGGGGGGGCCCACACCTGCATCTTATGAACACTGCTCCCAAGTGGTTCTGATGTCCACTGCTGACATCAAGTCCCAGCAGGATCCACTGTGCAACTGCCTCACCCCTGGGAGCAGAGCCAGAGCAGCGGGCAGGAAGGGCAACCAGACCTGCTCTGTGTACATAGCTCGGCCGCGGCGGAGACAGCGCGGGAGGAAGTGCCAGGCACACGTCACGCCCACCCAGGCAGGCTGCTCACACGGTACCCACTGTGGTCCACGCACCAGAGGACGGCGTCCGTCACAGACACGCCCTGGTCTCAGAGCTGTCAGCCTCCGAGGAAACGTGCCCCAGAGAATCCAAGCACCGTGACACGTCCTGGCCACAGGGGCCGGCCCAGTGTGCACGCACGTGCAAACGCCCCGTCTCCTCACAGGACCCGCTGCACTGGCGCCTGAGTGACCTTCGGAACTGCTCATCCACCTCCCCAGCTGCGGCTCAGGACCGCAGGCCCCGAGGGCGGTGGCAGTCTCACATCTGGAGTGTGGCCAGTTCCAGGCCATGCTGTGGTCTGACCCCCAGCCCCCAGACACTGCTGCAAGAGACTGCAGGGGCGCGTGACTCACAGCGTCCCACCGGAGGCCTCACGGCAGGCTCAAAGCCTCATCGGATATGGTGGCAGCCAAAGTCTTCGCACAAACTCGTTTTCAACTCCGACTCCAAGTCCTGACCCCAAAAGAGGCCTCCAAACCCCATGGGCTCTCCCTGGACACGGGCCGCTCCTCAAGGAGCCGCTACACCCAGGCCCCGACAGGTGTGTGGTGTGCTCACTGCACACACCCGCAGGTCCCACGGCGCCCTGGCTGAGGGGGACAACTGTCTTCCTCACCCCGCAACCCTGTCTCTCCACACTGTCCATGGACTCACCGCCCCGGTTCTGAGCTCATGGGGGGCCGAGGGGGGCTGGCACTCAGCACCCTGTCCGGTCCACAGTGCACACCTGACAGATTTCACGTGCGAACAGAAACCATTACCGAGAGACGAAGAAAACAGAATAACACTATGTGGTCACACACAAATTACACAAATCATAAAGAAAACAAAAGCAGCAAAAAACTGGTCAAAGAGAATCATTTCAATGTGCAGTTGTAACATACAAGAACACGAAGACTGTTTAGGGGTGAAAGAAAAATGCACATAAACCTCCTCTGAATATGGAATGCTTCTGAGAGGAGGGCACGCCGTGAGCGAGTGAACAGGTGAACGGGCAGGCGGACACGCTTCCCCACTCCCGCAGGTGCACCAGCAGGCTCAGAACTGCAGGGAGGGAGGGAGGAACACGCACGTCCTCCCAGCCTCTCCTTTCCTGCCACTTCACCGTCAACAATGGGGCAGAAACGAACTCCTCCTTCACGCCTCCCCTCTGCCTGCTCCCACAGCCGCCTCCGCCACAGTCCACGACTGGCTCCTCGTTGGCGCACACTAACGAGCGCTCCCGGGCAGTCATAAACACAGAAAGCTGTTTCCTCAGACAGAAATCTTCAGCCTTCTCCTCTTCCTCAACAGGTGCGCTACAAACAGTCCCTTTCTGCACAAGTGCCCGAGCCCCGCCGCCCCACCATGTACCCCCGACAAACCTCTCAAAGCAACTTTGCCTACAATGGTGTTCCTACCAGACATTTTAAACACTTTTCAGCTTTATGATTTAGTCTCAAAAACATTTCGTGTGTCACGTGACTCACAACGTAAAAGGCATGAGAAGTACACGGGAACAGGTGCCCTCCCCCGACGCCCATCTGTCTGCTCCTCCCAGGAAGCAAGCCTCTCACCACCCACTCTGCCCACCTGTGACCAGACAACTGGGCGCCCCTGCCCCTCCCTTCTGGGGCGCGGCAGACACCAGAACACAACTTAGGGCTGTCAAGTGACATACTTGCCATCCAGTCTCACGTGTAGTATTTGGGACTGACACTAACAAGATGCTGTTTAGCTGAACGGCGCACTGGGCCGGGCGCCCTGACTCTCACTCGCCACCCCAGCACCCTGAGGTAGGACTCGCTGCCCCGCATCCTGTCTGCAGGCGACTTCTCCAGAGGGGTCTAAAAACGAAGGGGAAGAGCCCGTCCTGAACAGACCAGAGCAAACGTCTCCACAGGCCACAGTTTTTGCTCCGCAGCTCCACACACTCAGGGGAGCTCTGCGAAGTGGTCCGTGGTGCTAACACCTCCTTTCTGTGGTCGTGCTGCGCGGGGGTCCAGTTCCAGAAGGCTGACTAGGGAGCCCCCGCATCCCAGGTGCTGTGCTGGGTGCCAAGGAGGAGCCGTGGGCGGGTGGCAGAGCCACTCCCGCAGACCTCACCTTCCGGGAAACCAATGCCATGGGAAGGGGTTCTCAAAAAATACCAGAACTTACGGAAACAAACCTTGCACCTGTTTTTACCAACTCCACTGGAGAAGAACTAACCCTCTCCAGCAGAGCCGGCACAGCGGGGAAGAGCGCACGCTCTGGCCCTGTGCACACGCCCGGGGGACGAGCAAAGGCGCTGTTCTCCCGGCCGCCCCACTACTTCAGACTGGGACACTAACACGCGGGCGTTCAGAGAGTCTCCTTCAGACGTAAGAGGACAAAACATGCCTTCTGCTCTTTCGTATGTACATTCAAATATCAAAAATAAGCAAAAACTATGACTTGTTCCTATTACAAAAAACCACCAAACTCCAAGTTTGGTTAATATCCAATGAAAATGTGTCTGATCAGTTTAGAGAAAATTCAACTCAAATAAGGTGTTAAAAGGTAAATAAATTGCATACAGCATGAGAAAGTATTCAATTATCATGTTCAATGTGTAAAGCAGTTCTGAAATACAAAACTGACAAAGTACTTCCACAAGACCAGCCCCAGCCGTGCCGTTCCGGACGAGGACGTTCCGAGCGCGCAAGTGCAGCTCTGCCAACATGCAGAAATGAACCTCCTCCCGGGGTGCGGGGGGGGGGGCCTGGGAACACCCGGGACCTGGTCACAGGTATGCAAGTTCCTTCCCCACAACAAAGATCACCCCCAGGAGTGAGGGCCCCATGCAGGGCCCCAACAGGCAGCCTCAGATTTGGGGCGTGGCTCCTGTCAGCCGTGACCACGGGGCCACCCTCCCGCCTCTCAGCCTTGGTTTCTTTCTCTTGCCACCCTCACTGTCCTCCTTCCCTCCTCCCCTTCCCCCTTATTCTGGGGGGTGGGGTGAGGGGAGAAAAAGGGAAACAGCTCTCCCCCTTCTTTAGTCCAAATTCTCCCTTAAGACAGCCTGAATAAAGGCTACATTTTTGCAAAATACACTTCTTAATATTCAATCAAATGAATTCTGGATATGAAATACTTACTTAGTAAGTATGAATTAAGTGCCAGTACATTAAAGTTCTTAAAATAAGTCATTTTTACCCATGCAGAAACTAGCCCCCAAACTATCTGCTCAGTTAGCCGCGTCTGGCCCGTGCAGTTCGGTGAGTGCTCTAGCTAGAGAGAAGAGAGTAGGAAGCAGAGCGTTACCTTCGTGAGTGGGACAGCCGTGGTAGGCAGAGAGACCCCTTTTCCCTGGGGTCCGAACGCATGCAGGGGGCCCGGTGAAGGCAGCGTCGGCAGGGCAGAGGCGTGCAGAGCACGTGGGAGGGAGGAGAAAGACAGAGAGGTGAGCTGCAGTGAGGCGGAGCGGCCCACGTGAGTGCGTTCGCCCCCCAGCTTTCGGAGCACGAGGCCAGGACAGCGGTGCTCGCCCTGGACAGTGTGTTTTAGAGACAGCACAGACTCGTAAGGAAAACACCAGGACGACAGGTGAGGAGTCAGCAGGGGCAGAAGAGCAAGTTAGTGAGCCTTCCAGAAGACTAGCACCCACTCGGCTCCTTCTGTTGAGAGAACACAGTCAAATCCAAAGCAAAGGATAAAGTGACTTGTCAGCCCTGTTTCTCCAAACGACAGAGCAAGCATGGGCCCCGCAGCCGGAAGACCTCGCCTGCCTCTCCAGGGCCTCGGCTCGCCTGAGGATGTGCCCAGTGGGAATACAGAATTTGTCTGTTCATACCAAGTCAGCACTTACAAATGCTATTTGCTTGTAAATGGAAAACAAATCGTTCTCTCGGGGAGCTGAGGGCAACAGTGGAAACTTAGAGCACAAACCAGCGAAATGAACACGGCTCTGGGGGAAGACCTCCGCCCAGCACTGAGTGCTGCCACCAACGAGCGGTAGCAGACCTGCCCGTCAGGCACCTGTGGAAGGATGACGCTCTCCAGGAGGCAGGGAGAGGACTCCGGGGCGAGGTCGGACGGGACAGAGCCCGGGACTCTTCGGACTGTGTGAGGAGCAGCTCTCCGCAGGACACTCGCCCGAGGCAGAGGCGCCCTTCTCCACCAGGCCCACAGCAGAAGCTGGGGAAGCTCGGAGCAGAGGGAGCACGAGAGCCGGTGGAAGGAAGTGTACAGACAAGCAGGGAACACTGGCCACTGCCAACATCTGGTGAAGAGCAGCCCCGAACTGACACTCACCCAGCCTCTACTCTCTCTCCACACCTGCAAAAAACGCTCTACGCACGGCACTGCCTGGGAGCCCTAAGTATGAAACGAGCAGTCAGAACAGCGACTCTCACTAGAATGTGTGCTCCCAGGCCCAGACGGTGCCGGACACACCCAAGTGTTCAGTAACTACCTGCCACTTAAGTGACGAGTGAATCCTCACTGTCTCTGCGGCCACCCACATCAACTTTCCATTATTCACCTGAAAATTATTCCACGTCAGCCATTTATCAACTCTCTCTGAACTAACAATACTCCTAAATCCCCCCAAATTTTGACTTAGAACAAAATCGTTGATTTCTAACACATAATACAAAATTTTCAAAAACAGACCCAATGCCCAAGGATCCTAAAAAATTTTAAGCTTGAAAGCAAACCACTGTCTCCTAGTTGCTAATCACCGCCTCGGGTAAGGCGTTCACATGCCAGAGCACGGGCGCAGACACAGGGCCCAAGGGCCGCACCCAGCCCGGCACCCGGTTTCTGCCCAGCGGCAGGGCCGAGCTCACACTTCCCTCTTACAAAGTAGTTATATTTACACAGACCTAAACTTACATTCGGCCCTTTGAAGGCAACCATGAGGCTGATATGGCCCCCGGTGAAGACGAGTCTGACACCCTGGGCTAGACACATATCATAAGTTTCCAAAGCACAGCGAGAAACCAAAAGCTTAAATTAACTTTTCAGCCAGAGAACTGAGGGACAAAGCAACTAACACTTTCCTCCCAAGCAGCTAGTCAGTTAAAAACCCTCAAATGTAACTAGTATCCAAACCAGTACCGGCAGCACACGGCACTGAGAAGTTATCTGCACCAAACGACGCCATTCCTTCGGCACCAATGTAACCAGGCTGTGAGCTAAGACTGCACCAGGTCCAACTGCCAGCCGCGGTCTCGTCGACAGACAGGAGCACTCAGGAATCAGCGGAGAGCCGCACCGCTCCTGTCCAGGGCTCCGAGGCACAGAGGACCCCGTAACGGGGCTGGTGCTCGGCTCTTTCGGTGATGACTGGGAGAGCTTTACTTAAAGGCAGTTCTCGGGGAAGGAGCAATAGCCTGGTCTTCATAGCGCCTTACAATACAGGTCACGTACTAGTATTGTAACCAGATAAGGAATGGTGGAGTGATAAACACATGCCATATGGATGCAAATATATATCACACACACACACACAGACTACTTAGAGGTGTGTGTGCACAAGACATTCCTTCGAGAATGTCGATGTATTTCTCAACCTGATGGCTCACTTGTAACAACAGCTTTGTTAAAAGAGTTCTATAAACAAAATAGTTAGAGGACTCACATGAAAATAAATTCAGTCTACAATCGTTTCAAAACCAAACACCCTTCCTCTTCCACAGGGAGTTCTAAACGCACCGCTGGAGTCAAAGACGGTCTTCGCAGACACTGCTCAGAAAGTGTCACACACACACACCCGCCTCTAAGCAGCTGCCCAGCAGGAGTCCCCTCACTTTAACATTTTGAAAAAATTTTCAAAGGAAGTACATCAATTCAACCTTTCCTTCCTTCTCTGTATTTACCTTTTTTGCTTTTGTGTGGCAATGTTCATTTCTGCCTATGTGAACTTTACTTCTATTCGTGAAAGTACACAAGGTTTTGTTTTTTAAAGAACAGATGCCACCTTACGAGGCCCCCGTGTTACACGACGGCCCCCACAGGGCGGCCGGCCAGCAGAGAGGCCGCTGTGAACACTGTGCCTGCTCACTGCTCACCTGGGCTCAGCTCCACCAGGTAGGGCAGCTTCTCGGGCGGCAGCGCGGAGCCGTAGCCGGACCCGTCTGCGCGCTCCTTCCCCCTCGCGGGCTTCCCGTCCAGGTGCTTCCTCGTCTTCTTCGGGATGTGGTCCGGCGGCCTCCTCTTCAACTGAAAGACTAGAACCCCTGCGACAGCGACACTGCCCGTCAGGAGCCAGGCTCCAGTCGGCGCGGCCGACGTGGGGGGCTGACCCAGTCACGCTTCCCCCCCACGGGTAGGGCACTGGTCTCCGGACGTGCTGCGAAGAGCGCTAACACGCAGTCCGCAAAGACATCCGTTTCACGAGAACAGCCGCCCGATGAACGGTGCATGCATTCACACACATACAACACGTTCACACACAGACACGTGTCTGGCAGACTTTCATTTAATTCAACTGGACTAACTCTGAATTCAAAGAAATCCAACTCTAACAAAGCTGGACTTCACGCCGCGCAGAAACAGCGCTAGGCCTTCTGAAACTCCCGATCCACGTGCAGTGCTGACAGCACTGGCTGGCAGCGCATCCCCGCGGGCTCGCAGACGCATAGGCCGCCCACAGAGTGGCAGTCAGCTGGCGGTGGGAGTCTGAGGACAGGAAAGCCACCCCATCAAAACGCAGCTCCACTATGTCGCTGCTCTGCGATAATGGGAGGACACTGTTTGCTTCGTGAAAAGTCTGGGCTCACTTTTGAAATAGCGAAATTACTGGACAATCCGTAGGGTGGCAGATTGTTTTCTTTATTGTAACAAACCTGTCCCAACCCACCAGTCCCTCTGGCCGCACAGCAAGGGTCCCAGTGCTGACACAATGACCTCCTAGCAGCTGAGACTCGGCACGCCTGCTAAGCATGGCAGTCTGCTCCGGGTCTACACACACAGCCACCACTGCGGAGGCCCTCGGGCCCACAGGATGGCCCGGAGCCAGCGAGCCAGGCCAGGAAAGGGGGCGGCCCGCCAGCGAGCAGCACCAGAAACCACCATCCCACCCACCCAGCCCGCCCAGCCCACTCGGGCAGCTGGTGAGCCAGGCACCCGTCCAAGGAGGAACTCATCAACCGAGGCAACCCTACCTCTGTCACTGGGCCACTCCCTGAAGATCTGTAAGGGACACTCGTCATCGTCCAGGATGATTTCTTTAGCACCTTTCTCATCAGAATGCTGGGCTCCAGGAGGAAGCATGACCTAAAGCAAAACAGCAGCCACATGTGACTGTACCCAGGATGTGAGCCAGCACGTATCTACAGAGCTCATTGTTTTAGGTGAATAAAAGTCACCATGAAATCAAACTGATCAAACACCATGGAGAATTCTCCAACTAAACCACCAACAAAAGCAAAAAATGGTTTCCAGGAAAAAGCTTTGCCAGCTTGACTGGGCCAGTTTTATGCACCTGCCCCTCTCCGGCCCCCAGACAGGTGGCCCGAGCACAAAAACGAGCAAACGAACGTTCACATGGAAGTACATGTGCAATGGTTAACTTGGGAGCAGCTCCGAAGAAGAGGCCCATGGCTGCTTTCGTGAGGCCGTCCCTTCACCCGGGCTCCCGGGACGACTGTCACGGAGCAGCACAAGGGAACGGCCCCCTCCCCCGGGCAAGCACTCTGACCTGTCTTCTGCAGCACATTTCAACCAGACCATTCAGCTATGTTACAGGTCTACTCACTCAGCACCGGTTTTTAACCGTCTTCTTAAGACACCACATTACTATGCTCGCAAGCAGCCCTAGCACCACATCAGGTTTTTTTGGCAGCCAAACAACTTCTCCACGGTCCGAGAAAGCCCCAGCGACACAGAGGGCAGGGTGATGGCGCCCACTGCGCCACTGCTCATTCTAACTTAGTGCTGACGCAACCGAAACCCGGTCACACAAGTCGGACACGAAGCCGAGTCACAGCCCCCTGAGCTTCCCTCTCAGCCCGCAGCTGACGTGACAGTGTTGTCTCGACAGAACACTGCCCCTGCACATGCTGACGCGCTCACACTCCAAACGGCCAGGCCTGCGCACGGGGCCCTGCCGCCTCTCTCTCCGCCGCTTCGAGTTATCTTCCAAGGGCAAGTGTGTCACAGCACTCGATCTTTCTCTGCTTTTTGTATTACACTTAATACCTTTGGCTCAAAACACACACCACCTCAAGGCCCGGCCTTCGCTCACCTCAGGCCGTGCCCTGTGCCCTGGTGAACCCCCAGCCCCCTCCCCCCCCAGGACGCCTTCTCCGCCTCGTTCCAATGTAAAAGCTCCCTGTTTGCACTTCTCAGTCTCGGCCTCTCTGTCCCCCGTTATTATAACCTCTTTTGAAGGCAGCTCTTGTTTTCTACCGCAGAATAGTACCTACCAAAGAAGAAAAACTTACTCATTTAATAATAAAATAGGTAAAATATATAACATGAATGACTATGAAAGAGGTATATACTACAGAAAGTATAAGATAAGCCAAGGAAACAAAGAATATCTAGTTCAAAGTTAAAATAACAACTCTTGATTTGTATAGCATAAGCCTGCAAAAGAAAATGTGCAAGAATATAGTAAAAGAGACACCAAAATAATGAAAACCTCAAAAGAAATCATCAAATGACCTCGACAGGAACTGTGAATAACAACCCAAAGTAGGCTTTTATAACTTCATGACTCTGATTAACTTTCTGATATTATCTGTATAAATTAGGCAGAAATTATTAGGACAAAACAATGTTATGACATTCATGATCACATATCTCAAATGCAACCTTATAAAACTGATTATTATTTAATAAATTTGTATACACTGGAGTCGAAAGTAAAACTTTTATCTCCAAGGTATCATGGGTAGCTCTGACCATATCAACAAAGTGCTGGCTAATTATGAATAGCAAAATGAAATGTATTTAAAAGTTGAACTTCATGATAGACTTCATGTAAAAAAATTATTAAACCAGACCTTCCTAAAATAAAGTTACCTATATATGTAAAATAACAATAGAAAGGATCTAAATCAAAATATTAATAGTCGTGACCCTGTGGTACTAGAACTATGGGCAATTTTTATTTCTAATTCGCCTTTTTACGCTTTCTTTACAGCAGGAGCATATACTACTTTTGTGATGGAAGAGAGAAGAGAATGTTTTCCCATGCATTTAACACCTGGTTCCAGTTTTTCAGATTCTAAACGGCACCTTGGGAAGAAAACCATGCCAGACTGAACTTTGTTTAAAGGTCACCATCCCACCTAAGGGACAAGCTCCTGCCCGTGCTAACGCCAGTCAGAGCCGCGCAGCGGGGCTCACCCGAGCAATGCAGTAATCCTTCGGGCTCTCCCTGTCCAGACCGTACTTCTCCAAGGCTTCGGCCACAGCGAAGTCGGCGGGGTCAGTAGTAGACAACAGGATCGTCTTGTAGGGGATATTTGGCTTCAAACTGTCTGCATAGATCCTCAGTGTCCCGCCTGGAAAACACCAGACACCTCTAAGCACAGCCGTATTCCGTTAACAGCGACAGCTGACGTCTACAGTCATTTAAGAAAAGGGCATCTGAGTTCCAGTGGCAATGGATGCAAGGATGGAACACACAGTTCTGTTCTCATGTCCCGTAAGATGACATCCATCAGAAGCAAACAATCCTGTGTGACAAGGCCCACCCCTGTCCTCTCTTCAAGCCCAGCCAGTGTGTATGGCAACAAACTGACTCCCGCTGGGAGAGGGACTCGAAGGAGGAAACAAGAAGGACTCTGGGGTCCGGCAGTGCTGCTCTTCGGCCCTGCGTCCCCGACTCCGGACCCAGGTGCTGCCGGGCGCCTCTGGTCTCTACTCCCTCCTCCCCAACCTGAGACTTAAACGAGAAACCCAGAGCAGCTCAGATATCAACCCCGCGGAACGAAGCAATTTAACAAACTGGACGAGACACCAGGAGGCTTTGGGTGCTAGAGTCCACAGATGCTTCAGCAGGGGCCTGGCACCAAAGCACTGGCCCCCGTCCCTCCGGGGGCTGCACACTGCAGTGGCGTCTCCAGCCGGGAGCCGACCTGGAGGGAAGAGACCCACCAGAGCGGAGCAGTGGAAGTACCTTGGGTTTCCCTGTTTCTGGGCAGCTGTAATGCAGCGCTGCACAGACCCTAGTGACACTTCTGGTGTCGGAATGTGCTTTCTGCTTACGACAGAACTGCACTCGGACAACCCGACGCCAGTGACACATGAGCAAACACAGAAGTTTTAAATTCACAACTCACGAAAACTCTTTCCAAACCACTGCTCACCTGTGGATGATGCCAAGGAAGGGACTTCTGTCTCGCCCCCTCCTCCCAAAAACCCTAGACCTGGACCTCTCTCATGGAGGAGATGGAGAAACAGCAGTAAAGACGTAAGCGGCATCACAGGATGTACTCGACAAAACCCACAAAAATCACCTGGGGTATTTTTGTTTTAAACAAACCAACAAATAAGGAAACTGGGAAGTAAAATAAAAGGAGATTTTAGAATGAAAGGCTGAGCTGGTGTATGTAGGTTTTACTTGATTCCTGGCTCAAACCAAAGAATTCCCTGAGACAGACAGGAAAATCTGAACAGCGATGAGGTACCTGATGTTATTAAGGAATCACCGTTGGTTCTTCCATACATGACAACCGTACTGTGGCTTTGGTTTTGAGGAATCCTTACCTCACAGGAAAATATATAGAAATATTTATGGATGAAATAACGAGAAACGTGGGATCTGCTTCAAAACACTACAGGTCAGGAAAGGGAGGGACACCTGAGGGGCAGAGACGGCACAGGTGCTCATGACAGAAGTGCGGTAAGGCTCCCCTGGGGGGCTCCCTGGGTCTTTCCTGTCCTGTACACGTTTGAAATTCACCAGAATTTAAGGGAAAAAAGGCGTGCAGGAAAACCCGTGAGGACACGCCCGTCTCCCTGAACAGCGCTCTCACACTCAGGCCAGCCCTGATTTCACACGGACACGGCACCCATGTGCTAGCGGGCTGCCTCCCACACAACCCGGACTCAGCATAAAAACTGTAACTAAATAATACCCTTCACAAGAGTCCAGCGGGAACCGGTACCTGAATCGGGCCGCCCGTCCGAGCTGCGGAACTGCTGCATCCTCTTCTCCAGCTTCTGCTGCCTGCGCCGTTTCATCACCACCTCGGGGTTGGAGATGGTGCGCGTGAAGCTCGTCTCGGGCATGTCTTTGTAAACCTCCGCAGCCAGGCGGGAGTTCTCACTGGGAGGGAAAAGGGACACCGAAAACACTTTCAAGGTTTCTATCAGGAACAGTATAATCATCCGTTGGCTGCACGTGTGCTGCGCACAGGCCTCCTGTGGACGGTTATATGATCGTGCAGTAACCAGTCACTATGGATGAAGGATACGGTTTCTCTCAAATCAAGCTAATGTGCCACATTAAGCAAAAATTTATCATGAAAATTCTAGTGAGTTCACACAATTTAATTATTGTGTATTAACAAAGCTAAAAGAAAAATGTATCCAGCATTGGCTGGTGTGGCTCAGTGGACTGAGTGCTGGCTTGTGAACCAGAGGGTCGCTCCCGGTCAAGGGCACACGCCTAGGTTGTGGGCCAGGACCCAGGAGGGGGCATGTGAGAGGCAACCACACAGTGATGTTTCTCTCCCTTTCTCCTTCCTTTCGCTTCTGTCTAAAATTAAATAAATAAAAATCTTTCTAAAACAGAGAAAAATGTATAAATTATAATTTCAATAATCTCCATCCATGTTACCCTAAAACAGACAAAATAAAAATAAGATTGACTATACTTTAGATTTTTTAATTAAAAGACTTACCAATGTTCACTTTCTTGAGGCTGTTTTCAAAAGGAAATAAAGTTGACCAACTTACCTCATTTTAAGTAGTCAACCTTTTTAACATAAATAATACAACACCTCATAAACTAAGCTGATAAATAAAACAGCCCTGACTGGTGGTGCACAGTGGGTTGGCCTTCATCCTGCAAACTGCAAAGTCTCTGGTTCAATTCCCAGTCAGGGCACATGCCTGGGTTGGGGGCGGCAAGAGGAAACCAACTGATGTTTCTTTCACATACCGATGTTTTTCTCTCTCTAAAACTAAATAAGTAAAATGTTCAAAGAATTACTGATAAATAAAACAAACCTTGACTCGCGTTTTAACCTCTTCTTTGGTTATTTTTCGCACACGAGCAGCACACTCACCCAAATCCCTTCTCTTACATGACTACACTGAACAGAGTCTCACTCTGCAACACTCACTCTGTGACACTGCTCCCTAGAATTCACATTCCTTCCACAAGCCTCACTGCCTCACAAGTTAATAGCTACATCCATGGGGAGACCATGCAAAATGGGCTCAAATTCCACTCTAGAGTAAATGTCACTCATTGACAAATGGTTAATATCCTCAATATATACAGAACAGTTTGAATCAATCAAAAAAGAAGAAGAAAAGACCTGAAGAGGTCACAGCAACAAAAGAATAAATAAAACTGAGCTAATAAAGGTGTGGAAAGATGGCCACCCTGTGGACGATAAAATAAACTCACTGCACGGAAGATACTCCCTACTGCAGAGAGAGGACCCTCTCTTGTGACGGCCAACAGTCGCGGCGTCCGAGGCGAGGCCCAGCAGGTCTGGCCAGCTGAGCGCCCAGTGGTGCATCTAAGACTCACCCCGAGGAGGGAGGGAGGAGGCCCTGGCGAGGACGGTCAGTGAGGTACAAGCACAGTGGGACGACATGTGCCATCAGCAACAAATCTCGACACACGAGAGCTGGAATTCGCCCAAATCGACGTCTTCACTGACCATCTGCTACAGGCCAAACCCCTGGCTCAGAGCACAAACCAAACAGTGTTTCCAAAGGTCACTCACACATCATCCCCTTGGAAGGGTCTGTCATCTTTTTCGGATGCTTGTCTCATCGCCTCTTTCTCCCTCTTCTTCTTCTCCTTCTTCTCCTTCTTCGAGAGAGTTCTCTTGAAGTTCTGGATCACACCTTCTTTCTCCTGCTTTTCAGGTCCATTGCTTTGAACCTTCTGATGAAAGGAACAAGATCACGATGCGGGCCACTACGCAGAGTCCCACCAACCCGGCTGAAGGCTGAGCTCAGCGCACCCCGCATGCCACAGCCCGGAGCCCGGCACTGGCGCCAGGTGTGGTGGAGACGCCCTGTCACTGGACTGTTGGGCCCGGGAGCGCGCTCGTCAAATCTCAGTGATTTCCACCTTCACTGCCTGTGCATCCCACTAAGTTTTACCACAACACAGAACTGATGAGTGACCAGGCAGCCAAAGAGAAAACCAAACCCAGTAAGAAAACCAAGGTGAGAATCAAGGGATCTGATCTCAAAAGTAAAAACCCAAATCCTTTACATCAAGTATTATGAATAAAAGAAACCTATGAAAATACGGAATTAATAAGCATTTAAATCATTATCTAGTTTATAGATTTTTCTTAACTTCAAAAGAAATGTTAAGAGTAGCTATAATAAATCAGCTTTTCATAAAGCAAAGTTTTTAGGTATCTTGCGTATCTGTCTGTCTGCCCTGATTTACAGCATGGCAGACGGCAGAGACACGTCTTGATGCACATGCACAGGCCGACTGGTGCACGCCCACAAGGCGTGGTTATCTGCTGGCGAAGGGCCGCCTTCCCTCGACGGCAGCACCAGCACATCCACGCAGCCGCTCCATGCCGGCCGGCCCAGGACAGCTCACACATGAACAGGTTATTCAAGTTTTATTCTCTCTTCTGATTCTCACTGAAGTACTCTGACTTTATAACTGAGGGGAGGGGGAACTGTAGCTATTACTTCTCCAGCATCCAACCTCTTAGTAACTGAAGCTTACACAACTCTTCCTTAAAAAAGTAAGGAGCAGTATCTGGGGTTACTCTGTGAAACAGAGGATGAAGCAGGGAGAAGCTAGGCCACTTTTAAATTACTTCCCGGAAAAAAGGGAAAAGAGCAGGTCAGGAAGAGACACAAACGGAGGAGGAGCCGGTGACATGAACGCCCGCCGGGCAGCTGGGGTCCCACCGGCCCGCCCCGGACAAGAGCCGAGAGCAGAGAGCCAAGAGACGAGAGACGCAGGAGGCCCCCAGGCCCACCTTCAGAAGGCCAGCATCGTTCTCGTTCTTCAGGACAAATCGGCCCTCTCGGTCGTCTTTGTTCCAATTCAACTGCACAACCAGAGGCTTCTCGTCTACGTCCAATCTTCTTTCTTCTTCACAACACGAGACGAGAGAAAGGGAAGCCATGGTTACTTAGTGGCTTTAGCTAACACAACATTCCGATATGCATTTGCTTTTATAAACATAATACCCTGACTGAAACGTAATTCAAAATGTCACATGAGAGTCTGAACGACTGACTTAACTCAGCACTATGCTGCTGCTGTGTGTGTACCACTACCATGCGCCCACGCAGACCCTGACCAGGGACCGCTTCCCACGGCACTCAGGCTCCCCTGGGAAAATGAGACACACACACACACACACACACACACACACACACACACGGACTGGGGAGAAAACAAAGCACGTGGAACCCAGCTATAAGCCTGTTTCTGTAAATGACAGGATCCCAGCTGCAACAGGAAAATAAGGGAATAATGTCATTGTATCACAGAAGTGCCATGATTCATGGGAGACTTTCCGTCTCATATTAATGTTACATGTTATGTGCTATCAAGAAATGGCAAGGACCCACGTGGCAGCATCAGTCTTGGAAGTGATCACTCTTCTTCTGACTCTGTACCTCTGACCCTCGTCTCCAAAACTCACCATCCTCAACCCTCACGGCCCCTTCCCCCGTGAAGCTACCACCCCTGTTCTCCATTATGACCGGGTGCCCAGTTCAGTGCGGCCCACTCCCTGCATCGGAAACCCGACAGCCTCGGCACACAGGCCAGGAAGAGGGCAGCCCTCGGGGACTCCTGAGAGCTCCAGGCAGCCTGACCCCACTAGAAGCCTGCAGCTGGCAGAGGTCACCCAGGTGACTGTGTCTACGATGTGCCAGATGAGGGCAGCAAAGAGAGGAGGCAGAGTAACTGTGGTACAGGAAGCAAAGGTGAACAGGACAATTTTAAAACACAGACAGGCCTCCAGAAGCATTTAGTAAATAACACATGTAAACAGTAATGTTAATTATCAGCATACGAGCACATAACAAGTTCCAAATTATGATTTTATCAACTGAAAACATGAGGAAGGAAAATCAGAGTAATAGGTCAATAATCGGATTAAGAGGTTTGAAATCCCTGCTACAAACCAAAATGCGCCACGATGCTCATATGAAATTTGTACTGGATCGAAACCTTTCACACTGGAGTGATTTAGAGAACACTGAGAACGATTACATCTGAATCACGAAAGTTCACAAAAACCAGGGTGAGGTGCCCCAGCGCACATGTGCCCACCACAGGGTGTCAAGGTCATCCAGGTCCTATGCATCTGTCGCCCCAAGGTGTCTCCAGCTGACTCAGGGGGACCCTGCCATCCACAAGGACGGCAGCAGGGGCTCCCCAAGGGCCGAGCCCCAGTGCTCACTGGGGGGCATTTCAAACCTCCACAGAAACAGCCCCTCCTGTCAGACGCCACCCTCTGTGCAGGGGTCCCCTGGGTGTCAGACTGGGTTCCCCACAGTGCTGTGTGGAACGACAAGCACGGCCCCAGACCCGCGTGGGCGGGGAACAGGAGCAGGCAGGGTCCAGGGCACACGACGCCCCCAGTGGGGAGCAGCTGCGATTAGGGACGGAATGAGAATTCCTTCATTTTACGCACACTAGTTTTTCAAACAAATCTAAGAAAATCCAAAGAAAAACAGTTCTTTAAAAATGTTGACATCGTTCTGCTCCTAGCTTCCCAATTCCAGCCTTGCACCACGTCGCCGCACAGACCACACTTGGTGGTGGTCCTCGAACCACCAGACAGAGCTGACAGGGAGCGGCCCCTCGTCCCCGCCACACGGTTCTGAGGTGGCAGCCACGCTCAGCCTTGGACAGCCACCCAGAGCGGAGGCCGTCGTCTGTGGTCAGACCGAGTCTCAGCGACCTTCTCAGAGCCTTACAAAAAGTAACGAACAACCACAGCCTACATTACATATATTCTACCCAGAGAAAAGGGGTTTGGTCATACTTAAACTCTACACACTACAAAAAGTTTGGCCCAATTTCAAAATTTACAAAGAAAGGTGTATTTTTGAAGTAAAAAAATAAAATTATGTTCCAAAAGGATTTGTGGATAGAACTTAACAAGTATTAAAACTGGGTTTTATGTTATGTGTAATTGTTTATCTTCTTCAGTAACTGGACTGTTTTACAAGAGACTCAACATCTGTAAAGCACTCAAAAATGTGTAACTCTACACTTGCAATTGTTCAATTTAAATTATCATTCGATAAAGATATATAGGATATTTTCAGACATTTCAAATGTTGAAACAAAGAAATTACTAAGTGAGTACTTAAGAGAACCCCCGTTTTCCCAACAGTAATACATCCACGCTGTTTCCCATCCCAAGACTGCTACAGTCAGAGTGACACCCATCCCCTACTGAACTGGGTTATAATGAACTGCACTGTTACCACGTATACAAAAGAGACACGTATTTCTCCAAAAACAAGCAGCTTACTGTGTCATCAATGGACGTGACTCTCAGAGCGGGGACCAGGCACCCTGCCTGCCTTCGGAGAAACACGTATGCACATTCTCACTGGCAGGCCGGTGCCATGGACTCCCGGGAGCCCCGCCCTGGCGCACAGAGCCCTGCGGCCTGCCCCCCCCCCCCAACACACTGACCTCCGCTGACGTGCACTTCGTAGAGTGAGTACTTGGGAGACGACAGCATGCGCATGTCAGGCCGGAACTTCTCGGCCAGCGTCTCGATGACATCCTGAGTGGTGGCAGTGCTGGAGACCCGAATGCACTTGGTGGCAAAGTTCCCAGCAGCTTTATCTTGAAAATAAAACCTCATCACTCCATGGAACTCCAAATCCTGCAAGAAAACAAAATGATACATTTTTGAAAAAACAGCGTTCTGAAAAGATTGACTTTTCATAATAATAAATAAAAAAGGTGATTCACCACTTTTTAAAGTGTTTTGTTACCCTGAACATCTGAGGCAGACACTAAGACGCGGGACCTTGGTCCCCACAGTGAACCACGTGACGCGGATGAGCTAGGTGCGGTCTCCCTCTGCCTTACCTGTCTCTATGGAAGGGGACTCAGCGGAGGAGCGGACGTCAGTAACCACCACCGTCCACGGACTCTCCAAGTTCCAGGTACACAGGACGCGCACTATTTCGTTACCTCTTTACCACCATCCCATTAAGCGGGCACTACCACTTGGTCACTAAAAGTCTCAAAGTTTAAGTGCCAGGTGACAAACCCAGCTCAGAACCCTGGACCACCGACCTCCCCCCTCTGCCTGGCTCAGCCTGCACCCTGCCACAAATGTGAATGAAGGGCAACCAAACTTCTGTGAAGATCATGGTGACTAATTTTTAGTTCGAACTACTTGCCCTCAAATCAGCAATTGCTGTTCAGATGGCCCTGCCCTCACTTCGTGAGGGCACTGCAGCAGAGCCCCGTGCACAGGCAGGCCAAGCCCGGACGGCCACGGAGCGCTCGCTCCTCCCATGATTCGTCAGTCACAACACAGTCTGTGTAGCTGAAGCTCTACGAGTTTCGGGCTCTTTGTGATTTACCGTATTTTGCTGCGTATAATACCCATTTTTTGTCCAAATTTTTGAGGGAAAAGTAAAGATGAATATTATACATGGGTAGTACTAATTCCATTTGTATAAAATGTTTTTAATTATTTTATCTATGATTATGTGTTAAAAGTGTAACTCTAGAAAGCGGTAACAATATCTGTATATAAAATAATACCCTGGAATATGATCATCTGTTTTGTTGCTAAATAGAAGTAAAAAATTAAAACAAAAGCTCTTTTTTCCTGAAAGTTTGAGCCAAAAAAGTGGGTGTGCATTATACACAGGAGCGCATCACACACGGCAAAAACAGTAAGTAACCTAAGACCACCAGTGGTCCGTAGCCCACAGGCTGGGACCACGACTGCCATCTGTGCTTGTGCCAGGTCACACATCATCGGGGGTGTGCAAGGGGTAAAGGCCCAGAGCTTCTGCTGCTGCTCCACTAGAGTTGCCCCAATACATCAAGTCACTCCACCTTCAGCAGACACCCCAAATCCACCCCAGATCTCATGAAAACTAAGTCAGACTGTACTGTTCCTATACTCTTCTCTTTCTACAGCTTCCTAATCTCAGATGTCAAATCGTTACCACAGTTAAGCTTTTCTCTACTTCCCCCCAATCCACCAGAGCTTCTTCTTCACTGATAATTATGACCTAACAAGTATTTCTTTGAAGTGTGGAAAATGGGATATTAGAATGCGGTTAACTATATCAACTACGTGAAAATTACACAGAAAATGAGACAACATGGCACATGTCTGGCCCCCGTGCTTTACTATGCCTGCCCAGAAAAAAACACAGGGTGAGCGCGCACGTGTGCTAGAAACCAGTGAAGCACAGTTCTGGACCGATGCGGGGCCCAGACTGAGGTCCGAGGGGCTGAATGCATTAGCACCGCGGATGCTGCGTGAGCAGGAGTCCTGCTCTGTTTCCTCCACACGCCACAAACTCTGTCCAGCTTGGGCCAAGCAGCAGAACCTGCGCAAGTGACGGAGAGTGGGAAGGAGGCACCGGAACCACAAAGCCCAGCGTGAGCACCAGGCCCATCAGGACCAGCTCCTGCTCTTCACGCCGTGCCCTGTGCTAGCGAAACCCTCTCCGAGCCCCCAGCGGCACTCCCTGCCCGCCACCCTGCCCCCAACTGCCCCGTGCTCCGCAATTAGCTTTACTTGCCTCACTACCACCTCCAGAGGCCCCTGGAAAACAGCACTTTAGAAAAGAAAATCACCCATAAATTTAGTTATATACATTTAAGTTTTTATTCTAGGAGTCTCACCCTAAGACTCTGAGACCTGCACCGCTACCACCCCCCTGAAATCACCTTCCTATGACGCGTTTCAGCCCTGAATGCTAACGGCACAACCACCCTGGCCCCTCCAGAGGATCGCTCTTCCAGACTAATTTAAACCAAAAAGGCAAATTAACCTCCAAAGGAACTCAATGGTTTTGCTAAAGGACTCGTTTTATGACATTTGTGAAGAGACTAAAACAGCTCTATCTACACGTACGGGTCCCCAAAGACACAAAAGCACCAGTTCCTCAGAGACTTGTCCACCACCAACTCCGGCCTACAAACTGTTGAGGAGACCCATCACGTGGGTCTGAGAGGGAAGGCTCGGCTTAGCCCTGACAGGCCCATGACTGCCCTGTGGCCAAAGGAAGCCACAAATGTCCTGTCTCCACGATGGACACACTTCAGCTACTGATCTCCCATAAACAGCTGAAATACATGTAACTATGAATTTAGTTTGCCTGGTTACCTTAACATTACAAAGAATAGCTGAGTAGAGTTGTCACTAGAATATTCCCTTAATAAAATAAATTAGTACTCTGTTCAATTATTCAGCCAACTATAAATTTGGCTGCGGTGACTTTAGCAAACCTAAGAAGACTGATAAAATTGAGTCCCTAACCCTACACACTGGTTGGGTAGTGGCCGAAATAACAAACAATACTGATTATAACTAGCATACATTAAAGGCTACCTACCAGTGCCAGCTACTAAGAGACCAGCATTCAATTCCCCCAACTAGGACCAAGGCACTATGATGACCCTGCTGTGCAGCAGAGGGGTCTGCAGTGGTCCCCTCACTCACTGCAACCCCCTGGCCAGCCTTGGGGCAGGGCAGGGCTGTGATGTGGATAGCACCCACCCCGGAGCCCTGCCTTTCAACCTCTCGGCTCCGCAGCCTCACTAGTTGTTTGTACGAAGTGGGACGCTCATTTTCTCCTCCAGGACAGGTTCAAGAGACGCTCCAAGGGATGGAGGAACAGGAAAAAGGAGGCTGAGGTTCAGGGAGGGCGGTGACCTGCCACGACCACCTCCCCAGCCAGACCGGCTGCAGGGACCGCATTCCTGAAGCCCATGCCACAGTCTGAAGCCCAGCCCGCACTCCACAAGGGGCCCAGCCATCTCAGGGCTGGTCCAGCACCCACCACAATGAAGACCCTGGGACAGAAACAAGCTGGCATTTCAACTTTAACAGCTGTATCTCTGAATACGGTGTTCAGTGTGTATGAGCTCAAATGTCCCTGCTCGGTAAGCTTGTCTGGAGGAGTTAACAAACTACAGGAAGCATCCAGCCAACCCTGGCACTCGGCCAGTGCTCCTCCGCCAGCCTCTACCACAGCCTCTACCGCAGGGCTGCGCCTTCGGAAGAAAAGCATTCCAGCAACAGCACCGGGTTCCCCAGCTGTGGCCGCCTGTTTCCAACGGATAAGAGCTCTGAACAGGAAGCTTTCCATTTCTAAGAGCAAACCGTGAAGTCTCACGACAGGCTAACATTCTGATAATGTCATACATTTTACAAAGACAAACGTTTCCCCAAACACGCACTCCCTCCTTAGTGCTGGTTATACAAACCACCCGGGAGAAAACAAGATCAGAAATAAAAAACACAGCTGCAGGTCCTCAGGGCAAACTTTCAGGAGCAACGGTGTTTGGCGCAGGGGGGACCATGACGGCCTGTGATCCCTTTCATCAGCGCAGCGTTCTGAATGTTAACTGCAGTGATTTAATTCAAAGGGGAGGAAAAGGCAATACAACATTCACCTGTTTCCCTTCCTTAGGTTTATTTTCCTGATGGGAAAACAAGTTTCTCTTTTCTCTAAAGTTACATATTTACCATTGCATAAACTTGTCCCTGAGAAGTATTTTCACCCATGATTATTAAAACAGAGTGGAACATTACTGGGGGTTGATTTAACGACAACTTTTAATGTTTATCATGAATACAACAGGCAGAAAAACGAAGCAAAACCCACGGAAGGACAGAAAGCTGTCTCGTAAGAGTGAAGAAGAGCCAATGCAAGGAGCAAACAAACAACACGGAGATTTCCTTGCCACTGCACTATCACTATCCCATTAATTAACGCAGTTGATAATCACTTGGTCTTCTTGCCCACAGTGGTAAAAACTCACCAGGGCCACCCCAGGCTCCTTCCACCACGCAGATCACAGACGCCTGGTCTGAGCTTCAAGGGGCCGGCCGTGTGGGAGCTGCTTTCCGCCCCAACGTCCAGCACTCGTCTGAAACCGCGTCCAAGCCGCAGGCAAGCCCGTACCAACTGCACACAGGCCTGCCGCCACTCCAGCTCCCGTGGGGGAGCCCCCGCTGCCTGTGCCCACGCACCTTACTAGCACAGAAAACATGCAACAACGCAGTAGCCATCTGACTCACATTTTTAAAAACAGTAGTGACAGCCCTGGCTGGTGTAGCTCAGTGGATTGAGCGTTGGCTGCGAACCAAAGGGTCACTGGTTCGGTTCCTAGTCAGGTCCCCAGTGGGGGCCACATGAAAGGCAACCACACACTGATGTTTCTCTCTCTCTCCTTCTTCCCTATCACTCTCTTTAAAAATGAACAAATAAAATCTTGAAAAGAAACAGTAATAACATCTGAGTATTAATAGTTTAGGTAGAAGACAGAAAAATACCTGAGGTATGGGTTTTCTGAAATCTTGTATAAACACTATTTTTTAAATGCTAGTACTTCAAGAACATTCTTTAAAATTGTATGCATTTCACTACCTAAAACTTGCGCACAACGAACAATACCGCTGCAAGTTTGAAAGAAACGAGAGCTGCACAGACCTTCTGGGGGCGCAGGCGCTCTCTGCCTGCAGCACTCATGCCCAGGGCCGTGCCCCAGCCCTGTGTCCCCCACGCCCCGTTCCCAGGCACCGGCAGCTCCTCTAAACACTGTTTCTTTTGTGTTAAAAGCGATTTGCTTTACAGTACAGCTGACACACAACACTGTACTACTTTCAGGCGCACAGCA